CGCGGGCACACACATGCCTGAACGTGAATGTTGACTGCGGGCTGTCTGTTCTTGACACAAGAGCCACAGCAACCAGTGCTGACGGCCTTGTATTATTATTTAACGAACTTTGGAGATTTTTAATTAAAACAAATTGAATTAATTAATTTGTTTTAATGATAATAAAATATTGTGGGAAGAGTTTATACGACTCCATATCCATGCGCAAGTCTTGTTGTCCAAGTACAGGTCTTCTGGTTCATCAATTTCTAATTCTTTATGTAAATTGATGTGGCTAAACTTATTTCTATTTTTATACCATTCGCACAAAATCAATAATAAATAAATAATAAGCATTGCAAGTCTAAGTTGTCATCTTAAGAGGATACCCTGAAAATGAATCGAAGTTTTGGGGGCGTGGCTTATTCCTTTGTCGGTGAAGCTAACGGACGACTGCGGAAGTGTCAAAATGAAAGTGATGCAATGACTTCATAGTACGCAAATTATGAGAGAGCCATACTGAGCAAGCGCTCGGAAAAAAACTAAGTAAGCGCCAAACAAAATTTTTATTTATTTTAACAAAACTTCGTTATGGATTAAAAAACTTATGAAAACTTAGATATTATGATTATTTACTATGCCTTAAAAATTATTCCATGAAATTATTAGTAAGAATATTGTGGTGTCATCGAGAAATGTAAATAATTAGCGCCAACTTTGCCAATTACATGGTATCGTGTTTTCCTTTTATGAAATCCAAGATCAAAATTTTGGTATACGATATTTGACTATATGTCAAAAATCATATACCAAAATTTTGGTTAGTAATCTATAAAACTTAAAAAAATATGTTAAAACGAAAAAGCACCAAATTTTTGAGGTATCACCTTAATGGCACGCGTTTTCAAATCAACCAAAATTAGGGTGTTTTTCGGTACATTTTGTGACAAAACTAAACCAAATCAAATATAAGTAAAAACTACCATGTATAGATTGGTTCTTCATCTGCAAACATCTGTAACTCTATTGCTGAAAATAGTAGTTTTTTATATTGTAAAAACGAACTTTCGTTGCCATTTTCTACAAAATAACGATACCGGCTTGTGTTTCGGTACATGTTTTGGTCTATTATCAACATATTTAAAAAATTTAAAAAATACTATAAGATGACAGACATATTCAATTAAAAAACCCTGGGTTTATTTTTTAACAAAATGTCACAAATAGTCGTAAAAAAAATAAAAACTGATCCACATTTTTTCAGATATTTTGGTAATACGGATGAATCATAATCTATTGCAATAAGGGCTATTTTATTGTTGGTGCCTGCTTTGATTTATTGTACAAAGATTTCGATGAAACCACAGTCCGCGCTCGGCCGCCGTCGTGAGTGGACACTGTATCGCCTGTTTGCAGCGACTCATTCTGAAAAGATCGCTGTACATACACAAAATATTAGAAAAAAACAAATTGGAAACATAAGTACTTGACAAGTGATAAAATTATTATTTTTATACTCACAGTTTTTTATTTAGCTAAAAATAAGTAGAATATATAAACTTACCTACTACTGCAACTCCTGGACGAGCGGAACTAGGTGTGCCGAGTTTGGGCTCGTTTTGTTGGTTATGATGAGACCTTACCTCCGGACTTGATGGCGTGACCTGAAGGTGTACTTTCGTGACCGCTATTTGAACTTCTTGCAGAGGGGTGGCAAATTTGGGCTCCGTTTTGTTAGTTATGACGAGTCCATACCTCCGGACTTGATGGAGTGACCTGAAGGTGTAAATCGGTGATTGTAACTGGAACTCCTAGACTGGTAGAACTAGGTGTGCCGAGTTTGGGTTCGTTTTGTAGGTTATGATAAGACCTTACCACCGAACTTGATGGAGTGACCTGAAAGTGTAGTTCGGTGATTACAAGTGGAACTCCTAGACTTGTAGGACTAGGTGTGCCGAGTTTGGGTTCGTTTTGTTAGTTATGATGAGAAGGTCTCATCATAACTAACAAAACGAACCCAAACTCGGCACATGTAGTCCTACAAGTCTAGGAGTTCCACTTGTAATCACCGAACTACACTTTCAGGTCACTCCATCAAGTCCGGTGGTAAGGTCTCATCATAACCTACAAAACGAACCCAAACTCGGCACACCTAGTTCTACCAGTCTAGGAGTTCCAGTTGCAATCACCGATTTACACCTTCAGGTCACTCCATCAAGTCCGGAGGTATGGACTCGTCATAACTAACAAAACGGAGCCCAAATTCGGCACACCTAGTTCTACTCGTTCAGAAATTCCAGCAGTAGTTACTGAATTACCCCTTCAGGTCACTCCATCAAGTCTGGTGGTAAGGTCTCATCATAACTAACAAAACGAACCCAAACTCGGCACACCTAGTTCTACTAGTCTAGGAGTTCCACTTGTAATCGCCGAATTACACCTTCAGGTCACTCCATCAAGTCCGGTGGTAAGGTCTCATCATAACCAACAAAACAAACCCAAACTCGGCACACCCAGTTCCACTAGTCTAGGAGTTCCTGTTGTAATCACCAAATTACACCTTCAGGTCACTCCATCAAGTCCGCAGGCAGGTAAGGTCTTATTATAACTGACAATGCCAGTTCAAAGTCCAGAGCTAACATCTCACTACCAGTAGAGGGCTTCCAGTGCCAAGCAGTCTTTGGAGCAGGTATTCATATTTCGTATCGAAGTATATTTCTGAGGTAGGTATAAGAAATGAAAAACAAATTCAATCTTTCAAATTATCAAAATAATTTCATTTGACTACGATTCCCACAGCCAACCGTGCGTACACTAGTGTGTGTGTGACTTTTGTCAATGTAGTAGTGCGATTCTATACCTATCCATTTTGTAAACGCGTCCTTAATGTGCACGCACAACTAATCACGAAACCAGTCTACACAAACTGACGAGTCTGTGTAGTGTATTGCGGCGATAGACATGCCCGAACAAACAGCCCGTGGGCATGTCCGTCTAGTGAATTCCCTGCTTTACAATGCAGTAGTAAGACACTACGATTTTAATAAGCAACACACACACACACACACACACACACACACACACACACACACACACACACACACACACATACATACATTTTCCTTGAACAGTTTATATCATACGGATTAAGTTGATCACTATCTGTATTATGGCTATGGAAGAACGAGATCTTCTGATACAGGTGTTTTTACACTTAAAAGGAGATTCAGGAATTCAGCCTGACCAAATTGAATAATAAAATCTGTTGACCAAATTGAATATTTCTCATTTCGAATTTCCTTTAGCTAGGCCTTATTTTTTTTAAAGAATATTGACAATGCTATAAACATTACTAATATTCCCCTTAACCACTCGTGGTAAGCTTAAATTGCTTGTGTGTTACAAGTGGTTCACGCCAGTTGTTGAATGGCGGATTCGAACCCACGACCTTTTTGAGTTCGCGGTCCGCGCCCTGCCATTAGGCTACTGTCGCTTTAAAATTATTAATAATTGTTTAAAATATTATTATTCGCGGATTTTTTAGGTTACCCTGCAGAGATTCCATAATGAAACCATATAGAACTTATATCAAATAAAAGGCTTATTATTTTAAAGAGAATATTGAAAACACATTTTACTTATTAATTTATGTTTTTATCTTATGAAAAAAATAAACGTTTCAAATGTTCGCGGCTGCCCCGGCTAATGTCCGCCGAGTCTTTGAGATTTGATTGTGAGAGTAATGTTGTTCTGTGAATTAGAGACGTACCGTAAAACGGGGTGAATAGAAATCGCGGGGTGAATGGAGACAAAACCAAGAAAGTTATTTTGTCCCGACTTCCAGTCTTTGGGAATAAAAATGGTACTAGTTTTTATTTTTTTTTAAAACGGCAACATTTTTTTTTATAAAATGGCAATTCCGGGTCACCATGAAGTTAGGAGAAAGTTAGAAAAAAATACGTTCAAATATCAACCGCCCTACGGCGACAAATTTACCTCCCATAAAGTTGGTGGTTTTATATAGGAAATACGAAATATTGTGTGATATAAGTTATATAAAGTGTTCCTTAGTTTGTCAAGATCAATTTATTTATACAAGTAAGTACAATTTTGATTTGAATTCATTGATATTGAAGAAATTTTTATTGTTGTTTGATTTTACTTAGGTTTGAGGTTAATAGAAACGGGAAAGGGGCGAATAGATACGTAGTATGGGTTCAATAGATACAACGAATGGGGTAAATAGACACGGGAAAGGGTTTAATAAAAACAAGAAAGGGGTGATTAGAAAAGGTCTTACTAGGGTTGTCACATTGCTTAATCCCTATTAACAATGAAGATTTTTTGGTCAATTTACATTAATTTTTTTTTGTTATAGGTAGGTACAAAATGCCTCGTTTGTATAAGCCAGACCCAAGAGGAAAAAAATACAAAAAGTATGATGAATCTGTAATACAACAAGCTGTTGAAGAATATAGAAAATCGAAAATGTCATTAAAGATTGTAGCTGAAAAGTATAATATAGATAAGTCAGTCTTGTATAGGCATAGTACAAGGACAATGCGAAAACAAGGTGGACAAACAATTTTTTCGGAAGAGGAAGGAAAGGGTATGATAAAATACATAAATGTATGTGCAGAGTGGGGCTACCCTTTAGATTCTGTAGATTTAAGATACCTGGAGAAAAGTTATTTGGACAAACAAGGGAGGACTGTACTGAAATTTAAAAATAATTTTCCGGGACCAGATTTTGTTGCAAGCTTTCTTAGAAGACATAAGGATATAATCTCACAAAGAAATTGCCAGAACATTAAAAAAACAGGGCAGCTGTCTCACCGGAATCGATTAGAGCTTACTTTCGGGAGTTAGAAGTTTCATTGGCAAATATTGAGCCCTGTAATATAGTTAATTATGACGAAACCAATCTAACCGATGATCCAGGTCGCAAGAAAATTCTAACAAAACGGGGAACAAAGTACCCTGAGAGAGTGATGAATCATTCAAAGGTATCAACTTCTGTGATGATAGCTGCTAGTGCCACCGGTGAATTGTTGCCACCATATGTAGTCTACAAGGCTCAAAACCTTTATGATACTTGGACCGAAAATGGGCCACCAGGAACACGATATAATCGGTCGGCAAGCGGATGGTTTGATGCAAATATTTTCGAGGATTGGATAAAATCCATCGCGTTGCCTTATTTTAGAGGTAAAGAAGGGAAGAAGTGCCTCATAGGTGACAACCTATCCTCGCGTCTGTCATTAGATGTGATTAAATTGTGTCATGAAGAGAACATTACGTTTGTTTTCTTACCAGCAAATAGTACACATCTGACACAACCATTAGATGTGGCCTTTTTCCGTCCGATGAAGATTGCGTGGCGCAATATTCTTTTGAAATGGAAGAAAACCGATGGAAAAACACAAGCATCGGTTCCAAAAGGATGCTTTCCAAAGCTTTTGAAAAAACTTATTTTTTGATCTTAACCAAAATGCCGAAGATAATATTTTGGCAGGTTTCAGAAAAACAGGCATATGGCCCATTAATGAAAATCAGGTTTTGGGTAGGTTACCTGAGGAAAATAATAACGAAAACAAAGAAGATGCTGTGGAAAAATCCGTCCTTGATATTCTTAAAGAAATGAGATATTGTACTATGAATGTAACTGAATCAAAAAGAAAAAGAAAATTAGATATAATTCCAGGAAGAAGAGTTGGCACTGAAACTGAAGAGTATGTGGACACAGATGAGGATAATTTTGAAAATACCCGGAAAATAAAAACTGCTGAAACCACTACAATAACATGCATAAAGACAAAGAAAGGCAAGGGAAGAGGGAAAAAAACTAAAAAACCGGACCAAGACATAAATGGAACCGAAGAAGATAAAATAATAGAAGTTGCAGATACAGAAACAATACCTAAAATAGAAGTTGCAAATACGAAAACAATACATAGAATAGAAGTTGCAAATACAGAAACAATACCTAGAATAGAAGTTGCAAATACGGAAACAATACATAGAAGTTGCAAATATAGAAACGATGCCCGTAATGTTTGAAGACATTACATTATTCGGGGAAGAAGTTGAGATTCCACGAGACAACAATTCACAACAATGTGACGATTTATATTTCAGCGGGAACTTAGAATTGATTGACGATAACATACATGAAGAGACTCCGTCTAAACCTAAAGCTTTGTGTACTGAAGATAGGAGAGATAAAATAAAAATTATCGCCAACGAAAAATTATCGCAGCAGTATTTTATTACCATGAAAAATAACATACCATTACTGTTGAACCCTGTTTCTAAAAATACTCCTTTAAACATTTTAAAGACTAAAATTGACCAACCAAGCACAAGTGGTTTGAAAGTGAAAACGAAGTCGCGAAAACCATATTATTACAAAAACGATTCAGAAATTCTGAAGGATTTAATGAATGATTCGGACTAAGTACATAAAAGGGCTCTTCTTATCTAATTATTTATAAACATCCATTGAATTGTTCAGTTCGGATGTAAGACCTTTACTGTAATGCGTCTCTTTATTAACTAAATTGGCAAAAAATTTGATTACTGTGTACTTATTACTTATAATTCTCATGTGCAATTAAAAGGCTGATTAGAAGTTAGAAAGTAAATTTGTTTTTATTTTCTGTCTTAAAACACATATTATATATTTAAGTGCCTTCAAAAATCTATTAATCTACCTACATATAGCATAATTACTTTGAACATACTGTAAAAATTTAATTGTTTAAAATGAGGCAGCCCTACATAATTTTTCTATTAACCCCATATATCGTATCTATTGATCCCGACTCCTGTGTAAATAGAGATTGCTAATATTTATGCGCGTTTCGTTCAAAATATATATTAAAAATAGCTTTTGAACTTTATAAAGTTTAAAACCAACCTTGACTCATAATTGCATTAAATACAAAGAAACAAATCTAAAACAATATGAATGTCAATTTCAAAGTTCCAAACTGTGTCTATTCACCCCGTTTTACGGTACGATATTTGATTTCGTTTTTTCGCATGCACGCAATTCGCACGACAATTGCAAAGTGTGGGGTAACGTTTTCACACCTACACAATACTACTACATACTACATAATACTACTAGAGACCCTTAAAAAGAGAATTCATAGGTAATTAAACATCTCATATGGTTGGGGATGTGCCTGATTAATGAAAAAGCATTATGGGGAGAAATTCAGTACAATTTATTCAATCAATTTCTTTATTCATCATCATCATCATTACAGCCCTTCACAAGTCCACTGCTGAACATAGGCCTCCCCCAAGGAATGCCACAAAGCACGGTTCTGAGCCACCTACTTCCACCGACTTCCTGCTTTTCTTACCAGGTCGTCACTCCATCTAGTGGGGAGTCGCCCCACATATTTTTTCTTTATTAAGGTACATTTTTTGAGTGTGCGAATTTGCTGACTTAGGCCATGTTCCGATATACACTGTGAGCATAGCCAGTATACTGCCGCAGTACCCTATATGATGTCATAAAATCGTCGCCATTTTTGTACTGTAAGCACTGGCCACAGAAATCGTAATAATAGTATTATTTCTGTGGCACTGGGGTTTTCGAAGTAAGTTGCTCTCAGTACTTGGATCACGTGATCAAAAAACATAACAGCGCCTATAGTTCATAAAAGATAGCTTGATCTCTGCAACAGCATTCAGTAAAATCACGCCTATGAAGTCCTGACAAAGAAATTCAGGACTTCATAGGCGTGATTTTTACTGACGGCTGTCGCAGAGATCAAGCTATCTTTTATAAACCATAGAGATTTAACAGCTTGCACAAATAGGGTTTCCAGGCCTTAACACCGAAAAGCCGGACAGACCAGCGAGCATAGCCGGACATTTGCTTAGTCTTAGTGACAATTTTTTTAAAGTAATTATTTCTTTTAAATTCTTCTTAATTTATTAGATTTTATTGTAAATAATAAAAAGCATGCTTTTTATTATTTACTATAAAATCTTCTTAAATACTAATGAAATAGCAATAAATTTGAGTAAATCAGTCTTCTTTATTATTAATTTAAATAATTGCGATACTATGTATGTAAGTACATGAAAAATATAAAAAATTGTCAAATTCAAAAAGTCTAATAAAAGCCGGACACCGTCTAATTTGGCCGGACACGCAACCGAAAAGCGGCTGTGTCCGGCTTTATCCGGACCCCTGCCAACGCTATCCACAAATGATTTTTATTATTATTAATTAATATTGTTATTCAAATAAACAAAGACAGCAACATTCAAATAGTAACGTTTCTTATTGAACAGAAAACGTGTACTTACATGATAAATATTTTCATAATTTGTCACGTAATTACACGTTTTCTGTCTTTAATGTGGGGATGACAGTATAATGTACTACGTTCCATTTTAAACAGTAACCAGTACAGTAAACTAAAAAGGGACGATTTCACAGTATACTGAAATGACGTCACACCTTACATTGGTCATAGTGTAGTATCGGAACACACCCCTACCCTAATTATACACTACATCACAGAATAAATAATGACTACGTTTACTTACAATTTATTTTTTCGACCAATAGGAAACAAATTAGTGCTATCTCGCTCTAACACTTTCAAATCTTGTTAGATAAAAATATTTTTTAATTTTGACTGAATATAACTAAAAATAATCATCTTATTTTGTTTAATTTTGTTAAAGTGTCGACCTATTCTTATTTTTATCTCCTTATTGAGTTTAATTATCTTACCAATCTTATGTAAATATACATACATTTAACAACTAAGTTTGTAACCTTATGTACATACATACGACTACTAAGTCTACAAGAATTCAGCCAATTACAATATACAACGTTCTACAGATAGTTACTCGTATTAGTTCGACTTCGTTGTTAAGGTAGACTGATATGTAGAGTTTAATTTCCTATAAGTAGATTCGCGCGACGTTATCTAATAAGGATAATTAGCGTGATTCAATGAAGATCCTCCGGCAAGTCTGCAGCCTGCGAACATGTTCAAGATCGTCCCCACCATTACATTAGATTTGATAAACCACAAATTCTCGCAAAAGAACACCGATTCCTACCAAGGATGATACGCGAGGCTATTGAAATTAAAAAACATCCAAATTTCAATAGAGAAGATGGTTGGGTGCTACCATCTGCTTGGGATCCTATAATTAACAAATTAAACCCAAACCCAAGCATACCACTGCAAGACTTTATGATACTATAAGCTCGTTTTGCGTAAATCGGACCAAAATTAATATTAAAAAAAACTGAAGGTAGCCGGACTAACTATGACGTTGGGACGTCAAACATCTCAGTCCCCCCCGTGACCATGGGTGCTGTAAAGCACCCGAAACGTCGGGATAATAATAAAAATAAATTAAAGTAATTAAACGCGATAAAATCCGTATATAATAGTTTTATTCAATTAATGAAGATTACTAATACTCAGTTTTACGTGGTAGAGCTATGCTACAGCTATTTTATGGATGAAGCACGAGTGGGTTGGCTCGACCGGGGAAGGACCGAGCATCCACAAAATACCAGGGTACAAATGGTAAAATTAAAATTTAGTACAATCGACTTCAATATAAATAAAACGAGAACATCATCAATGTAGTCAAATTTAATTAAATACGCATTATCAAGGATAACTCAAAAACTATTTATCATGTTAATAAAAAAAATTACGGGACCACATGAGAAGCACCAGCTCAAATAAAAAAGAATCATCAAAATCGGTTCACCCAAAAAAAAGTTCTGCGTTAACACACATTTAAAAAAAAACAGTCGGATTGAGAACTTCCCTTTTTTTTGAAGTAGGTTTTAAATAGCTGCTTAATGCACTACTGTGTTTCGTATGGTAATTGTAGAGAACCAGAAACCCTTTTTACTTTAAACAAGGCATTCCTTATGGCAAGGCATATCTTCGGGTGACAACTGACAACGCATCTGCATTTTGATTCCTAATCGAGCAGAGAAGTGACTGTGTGCTCATTTGCCATCCTTATCCTATAGAAAAACTTCTTGTTGGAAGCCTCAGCCCATGAGCTACCACGGCTAGTAACATGGCTAAAAGCTCAAACGTCAGTCGTATTTTTTAAAGGATAGCGTGACAGACAAGCACACAATCCATCTGATGGTAAGTGGTTGCTGTGGTCCATAAACCTCTAAGTGTATCCTCGATTACGAATCAAAATGCAGATATGTTGTCACCCGTGAGGACTAAAATGGAATGCCTCGTTTCCAGTAAAAAGGGTCTCCGGTTCTCTACACTCACCATACGAAACACACCAGAATTAAGCTACTATTTTAAACTGGTATTCTGTGAGAGCGTGGTCCTTTCCCGGTCGAGCCGACCCATTCGTGCTATAACTATACTACTAATATAACTGCAGCATGGCATACTAAATAACCTGTATCTTTTCTTCTAGGCGTCGGTAGAATGCACCGACCAACGAAACACACGCCCCGCTCTCTACAGTTATGGCTGACGCGGTTCGATATCATGGTCATGATAAAACAGCACGAGCCGTTACTAAAGGAGGCTGAGCCGTTCGGTGATCTGAGCAAACCTGACATGTTCTACTCGTATATGGTTTGGATACTTCCTTTTTCATCAGCCTTGTAAATCCAATTGTATATATGGGCCACCTCATTCAGCAATGATTTGGTTTAGTCGCCTGCCATGCTTATGGCAGGCGACTTGATTCTTAAGGCGTTTTGATTCTTAACTTTTTAATGGGCACATGGTCGGAACCGACCAAGGCGATATTCCGTCAAAGTTCAAGCGGTCGGATGCGACCGCACCCACCCACAGCAGTTTAACTATAGCATAGCATGAGTGCCACACTCTGTCGAACGCCTTCTCGATTAGCGTGTTGACAAATGCACCACTAATGAACATAGAGATGAATCATATATTGCCTCATATGAAAGGTATTTGGCGGGTTGGCAAATGCACCACTAATGAACATAGAGCTAACTCATATATTGCCTCATATGAAAGGTATTTGGCGGGTTGGCAAATGCACCACTAATGAACATAGCGCCAACTCATATATTGCCTCATATGAAAGGTATTTGGCGGGTTGACAAATGCACCACTAATGAACATAGAGCTATCTCATATATTGCCTCATATGAAAGGTATTTGGCGGGTTGGCAAATGCACCACTAATGAACATAGAGCTAACTCATATATTGCCTCATATGAAAGGTATTTGGCGGGTTGACAAACGCACCACTAATGAACATAGAGCCAACTCATATATTGCCTCATATGAAAGGTATTTGGCGGGTTGACAAACGCACCACTAATGAACATAGAGCCAACTCATATATTGCCTCATATGAAGGGTATTTGGCGGGTTGACAAACGCAGTTTTTTATTAGTATTTTTGAGTTGTTACTATATCCATGAGACAACACGGGGTAGTGAGTTTTCTGACTACGCCACAGTCTACACGACAAAACCTAACCTTTTTTTTATAGGATAGGGTGACAAATGAGCACACAGTCCACCTGATGGTAAGCGGTTGCTGTGGTCCATATACATCTACATCTATCTTCGATTACAAACCAAAATGCAGATGAGTTATCACCCGTGAGGACTAAGATGGAATGCCTCGTTTCCAGTAAACTCTACACTCACCATACGAAACACAACAGCATTAAGCTACTATTTTACGCCAGTATTTTGTGAGAGCATCTTTCCCCGGTCGAGCCAACCCATTGTTGCTGCAACTGTACTACTGATATAATTGCAGCATGGCTCTACCACGTATACGTACGTACCACCTAAGATTAGTATTGATTAATTGTTGTAATTTGTTGGTTCTTAACTTATAAGTTCATTATCATCGTAAGTCCTTAAAAGTTTACTTCTGGACACGTCATTGTTTCTTTATGACAACACCTGGCCACATACTATACAACATGCGTTGGCATAAATTAACAGAGCTAAAGTCAGGGAGGGGTGCTCTCTCATTCACCGTATTCTCTAGATCTTGCCTCAGCAAAATTACACTTTTATCAAAGGTTAAAACGTTTTTATTAACAGTAAAAAATTTACAAGAAGCAGTAAAGAACGTCCTTGAGAAAAAGTTGTGACATCAAATTTTGTACAGCAGACTTATCAAGGATGTGTCTTGTAAAGAATGTGATAATAGTTTATGCAAATATTACAGTTTACGCAAATATTAATTTAATAAGATGTTATGTATAAATTATGTTATCAAAAATAAAGTCAAAAACATTATACTCATATTTCATAAAAAAATATGATAAATTATTCCGTTCTACAAGTTGCCCTATATAAATAAATAAATAATAAATAAAAATATAATAAAAAATAAATAATTTGATCGTAAATAATAATGTTTCGAGTTTAAGGTTCGTGACAATTAAAACTGCCGATTGAATTACCAAAATTGACACTTTAATTACTAAACACCGATTACAACTTAAAAAACACTAATATTAAATAACAATATAATCAAACACTAATATTAAATAATGATATAATTAATCACAATGATCACTTTAGTTCGCAGTCATATCGCTTCAAAGTTCGCCAAATCAATATTCACTCGGTCGCTGTCCTTCCGGCCTTATATAGGCCCTCTTTTACCTAACCACCTTGAAAGTTCGAGTACATACCGGCCCAACTGACTAGGTGTAGAAAGTTCTAGTACTGAATTCTCTAGAAGGATTAGTTCTGCTACTCGATACTAGATGACGCTAGTGCCATGTGCCAGGTAATAATTATGGCGCGCAACAATAAATTAGAATCAGAAATATGGATAAATTATATCGGAAGATGTGAAATTAATATATAAATAGTAGGTACTTAGAATACTTACAAGTAGTAAAGTTTAAAAATTTGTACAACCGACTTTAATATAAATAAAATGAGAACATCATTAATGTATTCGAAGTCAATTAAATACGCATTATTAAGGATTACTCAAAGACTGGTCAGATCTTGATCGAATGTGTATGGAACCACACGAGAAGAACTAGCTTTCAAATAAAAAAAGAATCATTAAAATCGGTTCACCCCGAAAAAAGTTCTGACGTAAAACACATAAAAAACGTACAGTCGTAATGAATACCTCCTCCTTTACGAAGTCGGTTAAAAAGAGAAAACCTTAGTATCCTGAGGAGGTGAGGGAAGAGAGAGGAGTGACCCGATACACTTCCCCACTTCGGGAACTTTATATGTTATGTAATTTTGAAAAATTTATATTAATAATCGAAAATATATTAATGTGTCCCGAGTAACTGAAAAAGAATTATAATGATTAGTTGCTTTGTAAGAGGGGCTGACTCATAGGATGCGCGCGGTGGGAATGTCAGCTTACCACAGAATAAACTCACTACAGTTTCTTGAAAACTACAAATTTCCACGTAAAAAGCAAAAAATTTTATGACCTTTTTGAGGGGACTAAGAAATTCAAGATCTCAAGAATATCGTCGTAACATTAAAAATTTAATTGCATATTTGTCCCGACCCTCGAGGTGGAATTCTTTCACCCAATTTATATGAGACTACTTCTGAAGTATAGTATATAACCTTTTTAATAAAGTAAGTACCATTTAAATCAGTTCACAATTAACGAAGAGTATTTCAGTGACCGACCTTTTCTCGGCGTTAGAAATACTGGGACTAAATGACGGCATAGTGGAATATTAGATCTACGCTTTAGCCATTAACTGTTAAGAAGACTATGTGGCGAAATCACTAACTGCAGGCAAGTCAAGTAATCAAATTTGTTGGTTTATGCATGACAGGGTGAAAACGAATTTTCAAGCATAAATAATTTTCAAGATACAGGGTTATTTTTCAAGAAGTAACCAAATTAAAGTAAGTTTTATTTAAAATTATCCCAAATTGAATTTGATTTATGGGGAACGCCGTTTTTGCCTACCGATCGACCCTTACGAATGTTTGCGTGAGCAGTAAAATCAGTTAAAATAATGCATTACCTCGCATTTTGAATTTAAAAGATAAACAGGTCAGAATGTTTTTTTAATTAACTTTTCTTCACCATTTGTCTACATGTTTACGCAAATATATATTTACGCAAAAGTATATACCCACAATTAAAAAAATATAATAAATAATGTATAGGTAAAATGTGTAGGTAACTAATCAAAATACAGTACAGTAATACTATATTATGTAATACAGGTGGAAAATCTAACGACATTAAAATTATCTTTTTGCTTATCAAATGAGCTGCGATAATTTCTAATTATCTAATATAAAGAGGGTAAACAAACGCTAATGCAACGGAGAAATTGAATACAGTATTCGACATGTCAACATTCGAGGCGGTTGTTTTGTGGTAAAGTTTTTCATGTTTTTATTTTTATTTCTATTTTTCTAAAAAGAACCAAAGTCTTGCCTAATTTAATTTAGTTACGAAATTATGTTAATAGGAGTATTTTAAACAACTGGGAGTGAACGATGTGAGCTCGTCAACCATTGTCCAACCTCATGGCCCAGAATTAATAATAGTACTACGTACTCATGGTATGTAACTTATTAATGTGATGGCCGACAGATATCTATTTTAAAATTTTATAGAACGACAGTAACAAGTCTTATAACGGTATCTTTTAAATTGTTAAGTACAAATTAATACAAGTGGTAAAATAAAAAAAATGTTCTAGAACCGACTTCAATTTAAATAAAAAGAAAACATCATCCATATAGTCAAAGTCAATGACATACGCATTATTAAGGATAACTCAAAAATTATCTGTCAGATCTTGGTCAAATTTATATGGAACCGCATGAGAAGCACCAGCTTTCAAATAAAAAAAGAATCCTCAAAATTAGTTCACCTAGAAAAATATCCTGAGGTAGCGCACTTAAAAATACAGCCGAATTGAGAACCTCCTAATTTTTTAAGTCTGTTGAAAATAGGATGATATCGTTTAATGTAAAATTATAAAGAAAAATAGTATTAAATAGATACATTTAACGTCTGCCTGCATTAAGCGTCTCTATCTAACACTGATTATTTAATTAAGCGTCGTAAGCTTTGAGTATTAAACCAAAGGAGATGGCATCGCAAGACATACCCCTATGTAAAAGGTACGATAGTCCGACTCATACCCGTTATATAAAACTATTTGCTCCGCGTCGTGCGTCATTACGCAAGTGATCGTGCCATTCAATTGAGCTCTTACAAAAATGCCGAATTGCAGTGTATTTTCATGAAAAAAAAAACCATTCAAAACCATCAAATCTACAAATAATATTATACCTTGTATAATACCATTACCCATACATATATTATACCAAGTGTGCTCAGCATAGTTCATGAAGTGAAAAATAAGCGATTTTAAAATAAATATAATTTCCTACAAAAAATAAATATGTTAACAAAAATTTATTTCATATATATATATATATATATATATATATATATATATATATATAAATACTTGTTCCAAGCGGGATTCAATTCCGCGTCCCTCAGCCTCAATACAATGCTAAGCTGTTAATCAATTATTTTATATCCATTGATTACAGCCTGTAAAAGTCTACTGCTGAAAATAGGACTCCCGCGTAGAGTGACATTGAGGGGATCATTAAGGGGATTCTACCACAGTTGCCACGTTTGGCGTCTGAAGGTTGAAGAGAGCCAATATAATTACAGGCCTCACAGGTTTTCCATCTCAGTCCTCAGAAGTGACAACGCAACTGTAGCCTTCTTTATTTCAAGTGTCCATCGACTACAGGAGCCACTTACCACCAGGTGGACTTAAGTTTTTTGTCATTTCAATTTCACAAATAAAATTAAACGTTATTGCCAGGGTGCTGCTAATATGTGCAGATTTGAGCGACGGTGTAAAATTTCCACCTGGTTTCCTATTTGGTTCTGCCACGGCATCGTATCAAGTGGAGGGGGCGTGGAATGTTAGTGGTGAGTATATATTTTTGAATTATTTTATCGTTCGATGGTTCTTTGGTAAAACTATAAACATCCGGTACTGGGGTGGGAGGAGGTTGAGGGAGGGCGTAGGTGCAGGCTAGTCAGAAACCTCTTACTCTTTCCCCCTTACGGAAACGTATAGTTTATAAGTAACGAATTGCATGGGTGCATTTGTTTCTGCTCTCCCCCCGCGCCTACAGCACTACAAAAACACTAAGGGTAAGGCGGACGAAACCACGTGAAGTCGTGACGCGCTGATTCGGTTTTAGGACAGATTCAACAAATCGTTTCTATAGAGTCAGGTTGCCCTAAACTTTGCTATGATAGTGGTAGATGACACAATGTAATGTAAATTGTTATAATTTCGTTTCACAAACGTATGACTGTGCTCCACTGCGGCTCAATCTAACTTATAAAAAAGACTTTTCCTGACTGACTGACTAATCTATCAACGTACAGCCTAAACCTCTGAAGTTAGAAACTTGACATTTTGGCAGTGGGTTTCTTTTATGATGTAGGCGAGCACGAAAGGTTTTGTGAAATTCAACCCCCAAGGTGATTCAATAGTGGTTAAAGTTTGTAAGAAATTCCGTCCTTTTTCAAGTTATATCCACACGGATTACCTTTAAATTAAAAGAAGCACATATTTCACAGTTATTGAAAATTCAACCACCAAAGGGGTTAAATAGGGGTTGAATGTTTGTGTGCTAGTCCTTCATTTTTCAAGTTATGTTTATGAAACTTGGAATTTGGGTCTTGATAAAAAATAAAGAAGTACGTTTTTAACATTTTTGCAAATTTTACCCATATAATTTTAAAAATTAACTTTGGTTTTTGCGCGAGCTACTGTTAAACAACCTGTATAATCCTACATCTATACTTATAAAAAGACATCTTGTATCGTGGTATGGAACCCTTTCATTCTGTAAAAGTTTCAAGTATAATATTATATAAAGTTTATAAGATAAAGCCCGCTAATATACGGACGGACGGATGGACAGAGGAGGATTACTAATAGGGTCAGTCGGCACCCTTTGTATGCGGGACCCTAAAATCGTAGGGGTGGGTTTCACAATTTTCCAAATTACGGTATGTTTAAATTATATATCCATGAAAATTGGTTAGTTATTTGTAAACGTATATACGTGTAATATAAAAAATGACACAGCGGGTGATATTAACGGTCTTTTACTAAAATCATTTGAAAGGGAAGAAATCAGCTATAAATCTGTGGATTCATTGATACAAGTTGATGAGGCAGTGAATTATCCTGTCGCGTTTTTAAATACCCAGCAGGTCTTCCAGCTCATATTTTTACTCCTAAACTGGGCGCGCTAGTTATTTTATTGAGGAACTTAAAACCTTTAAAGTTATGCCATGGTACCAGACTAAAAATAACAGCCATCCATAAAAATGTTTAAGAGGCAAAAGTAATCACCGTATGTGCTAAAGGGGAATCATTTTTCATACCACTAATACTTTTACCATCAGATAACCCTTTAGAGTTCAACGAATTACAATTTCCCCCAGAAAGTGTTCTTCGCTATGACCATTAATAAAGCACAAGGGCAGTCACTGAAAATGGTTGGATTAGTTAATGGAGAGCTGCTTTTCTCACGGACAGTTTTATGTGGCCTGTTCGAGAGTAAGTGCAACAAGTAGCTTGGTGACTTAAACACACGAGAGCCGTGTCACAAATATTGTATACAATGAGGTCCTTCAATAAAAACAAACATTTCTTAAAACATATTTATTATCATGTAGGCCAAAAATAAGGAATCAAAAAAATGTCGTCAAAAATGCACAGTATTTTGTAGATCCGCATGAAATTAGCGTGGAATGTTAAACTCAAAGTGGTAGTCTGATAGTATTAAGTATTCGTGATATGAATACTGTTTCACCGTGAGCTCATCCAGTGATTACTTTGGCCTTTAATCATCAACTTGTAATAAATACTTGCATAAGCTTTATATAGCTTCTATATAGGTAGGCCTTTACAGCAAGTAAATTTCAGAATCTCATAGGAAATCAGAAATTGACGCGGGGGACCGTTAATTTGTTGTATGTGGCCCGTTTTCAGCCACAAATGGATTGTCTCGGTTCGAGTGATTAACTTTTTATGGGTGTAATACACGAATAAACATATTGATGTATTTGCGTTTCGTTATATGCAATTTTTAGTGCAATTTATTTTTATCGTAATCAGTTCAAAAGGCATTTCCTAAATCGAAAACAGTGTAAAAGGTTCAAGCTTAGCTCTGACAAACCTCCTACATTGAAAACAAATTAAAAAATCAAGTACCGGACGTCTACTTCATAATACTAGACCAAATTGACATATTAATGTTTCATTTTAAGCAAAATTTAGTGAAATTTATTATTATCGTAATTAATTCAAAACGCATTTCTGACACTTAAAAACAGTTTACTAGAAGCTTAACCCTAACAAGGCTCATAAACTAAAAACGTTAAAATCAAGTACCGAACGTCTATAGTCTTATCTTTTTTTAAAGCAGTATTTGATCAGTACGATTGTTTTAAAAATGACCTTGTACAAAACTTCTATCGTTAAGGCGGTAGGATTCTTTGGATGTGAAAATTGCGTAGTTGAGTAGAATTGTTTGTTCTGGGTACGTATTCATATTTTTATGACACCAGCAATCTTGCAATCTATTATCTACATGATATTAGAAAGTAGCGTTTGACAGTTGATCAACCTGCTGTTATTTGAATAGATTTTTCCGCAGGGTATTATTAATATTATCATTAAAAGTTAACTATATCGTGATGTATTGAAGCATAAACAAAGTAACTTTCTAATCTTTTGATTATCATTTCCTTACATAAGATAAATAAAATTGAAGTGTCTATCTGTAATATCGCAATAACTGCATTTTGTCGAGCTCAGGGAGATATTTGCATGCTAATGAGATAGGCATAGCAATTTGTTAAAATTTTGTCTGTCGGTCCGTTCGCGATAATCTTCGAAATGTCTGACTGATGTGATTGTGATGAAGCCTCACGAACATTGATTTATATATTACACTAGATTAGTAATTACCACACCAAAGCGTTGCCACTGCACATATGGCCACAGCCATATGTCTAGCTAACGTCAGTTCATAAACTAGTGATGAGACAATATGGAGGGATGTACGACGCCCCCACACGGAATCTTCATAACATTTTTAAATGCTTATGAAAAAAAAGAAGAATTATGGAAGACCATGCCTGCTAGTAGAATATTCATGGAATGATAGAGATAAGGAAAAAGTCAAGTCATTATGATGAATTATAAAAAAAAGTACTAAATAAATTATCTTTTTCAGACAAAGGCGAAAACACGTGGGACAGACTGGTTCACAGCAACCCCGATGCAATTAAAAACCGTGACAACGGGGATGTGGCCTGCGACTCCTACCACAATTGGAGGGATGACGTTAAGATCGCTTCCGACCTGGGGCTGCATTTTTATAGGTTAGTATTTATTCGGTGAATTGATACCGAACATCTAAATTAGCATAGATGGCTGAGGCATATGTAGCTTCCGATGAAACTGTAAAAGCCTCTTGAGTCAGTACAATAATAACCATAATATAAGCATAACATAAGAAGTTAAAACAATTTTATTTGTTATCATAACTTAGCCTATTTAGAAAAATGATTCCGGTCCCATACTAGATATAGTGACTTTCTTGTAAAGTAGAAAAGAGATGGCTGCAATTGGGCATTCTTGGTGGAGGCCTAAACACAGTGGATTTTTGGCTTTCGTGACGATGATCTTTTATCGAAAATATAGCACGAGGTGTTAAATTGAAATATTGTACAGAAAAAAAAGATATTATTACAAATTATTTTGCAACTGCTGGCTTCACCTGTACTCGATGCTCCACGCATTTTTTTAATAGAATAAGGGTAACAAACGAGCACACAGTCCACTTTATGGTAAGTGGATACTGTGGCCCACACTCCTTTATCCTCAATTCAGAATCAAAATGCAGATGTAAGCCCATGACTAAGATGGAATGCTTTGCTTCCACCAAAAATGGTCTCCGGTTCTCTACACTAACGAAACACAGCAGCATTAAACTGCCATTTTACGCTGCTATTCTGTGCGAGCGTATTCTTAATCTGAACCGACCCATTCATGCTACAACCATAATACAGCTGTAGCTTTCAGCTTCTTATCAAACTCAAAATATGCCAAACCCAGAACCCGAATACGGATGATGGCAGTTTCGTTTTTACGCTAAGCGACGTGTCTTTGGAATAAAGAGGAGCTCATATCCAGCACCCCCAGATCTACAGGAACCATTACCATCATCATCACCATTAAAAACCATTCAAAGCCTACTGCTTAACAAACGCATAGATTGCCTAACAGGGAGGATATTTACCATAGTTGCCACGCTTGGCACCTGCCCACTATGGACTTGGGTTGCTTTTTTATTTGCTAGAAGTAATCAGAAAGAGAACCCTAGCCATTTCCTGGTTTGTCTCCCTCCGTCGCCTCTCACGACACCTACGGATCGGTACGGAGTAGTGGATGCTCTATGTTCAGCAGTCGATTTTTAATGGGCTGAATGAATGGACTGGTATTCTCATCACAACTTTGCGGTCATTTTAGATTCTCCATATCATGGGCAAGGTTACTACCTACAGGGCTGCCTGACAGAATAAGCGAAGACGGAAAAAACTACTATAACAACCTCATTGACGGACTCCTCGAGAAAGGAATACAACCTTTAATTACTCTGTATCATTGGGACTTGCCGCAACGGTTACAGGATTTAGGTGAGTTCTCGTATGTTTATATTAATGTCGCCTAACCGAAATTCACAGAGTCTGGGCAGCCAGTGTTAGCGGAGACCAGCCTTCTTCGCAGGACACGGTTATAGTGCACAAGTGTATGTACAAGCACAGGTGTAATCTCCCCCTCATGAAACTACCAGTATCCATTCGTCTTAGACCACCGTGCACAAGTTATGTACAAGCACAGTTATCATTCCCTCATGCTCATAGTTGATAGGACTGGCACTCATATCCATCATCTCGGAACCACCTTCTTCCACACGGTTGACAGTAAAGACAAGTGTATCTCTATTCCCTCATGCTCATAGTTTGATAGGACTGGCACCATCAGTATCCATCATCTTAGCGGAACCAGCCTTCTTCACGACACGGTTATAGTGCACAAGTGTATGTACAAGCACAAGTGTAATCTCTATTCCCTCATGCTCATAGTTTGATAGGCCTGGGACTATCAGTATCAGATCAGATCAACGGCTTTATGTGTTTTCCGAGGAATGGGGTGGAAACTCCGTCAACTTCTTGACTCCGGTCTCCCAGTGTGAATTTTGTGACAGAAAAGCCCAATAACTGATTTTGGGCCGACCCGGGGTATGAACGCTGGACCACGTGATATGCGGTAGCCCTTACAACCAATTGATAAGCGAGACAGTGTGCATACATGCAACAGTGTGCATGATGAACGAAAAAGTGCGCATAAATAGTATATTGGACAACGTCTATGTGATGAAAATTGCTGCGGTCTATAGCCACCTCTTCCCCCTGCCATTAAGAATCAAAATGCAGATGTGCTCACCCCTGAGGACTAAGTAGAAAGGGTTTCCACTTCTCTTTGCTGCAGCATGGCACTACAACGTATAAAATTGCGTTGTAATCGATAGCTGGTAATTAGTAATTATACTGGTTGATATTATCAATTCACTTTAACTGTAGATGTCTATGGATCACAGCATCCATTTATAATTAGGTGGTATGTGTTCATGTTTGTCAATCTAACTCTTTAAAAAATCTGAACGCAATACATTGGGTGCATTTCTTCTTGGTGACAGAAACAGACTCTTGCCTATTTCGAACCTTTTATCCATAACATTACCATTACAGCCTATCACCAGTCCACTGTTGAACTGAACATAGACCGGGCTGTCTCATAGGCCAAGCAGGTTGATAAGCGCAGTTTTTCATTTTTATTCAACTGTTATTTATTGTTATTGTGCTGATTTATCACGCGCTAGGCGTTGAAGGAAAACATCATGAGAAAATCTGCATGTCTGAGAAATAAGAACAAAAATTTCAAAAACATGTGAAGTTCGCCAACACGCATTGGGACAATGCGGCGGGCACTTCCTTATCCTAAAACCCTCTCAAAAATGAGAGGAGGCCTGTGCCCAGCAGTGGGACGGCTCTAACTAATTCAGCTGTTATCAGGGAGACGCTATCCAATTTTTATTTGCCTCTGTCCGTGCTAATCATCAGATGGACGGAACCGGTTGTAATAACAATTGACGTACAGGTAAAGAGCTATGCTAGGAGTGTATCCGAAAAACTTGGATATTCTTTTGAGAAATCGAAAAATTGATAAAATAAATTGTTTTTGATGATTATCTTATAATTAAATAACTTCAATAGATCCAGATAAAACTGGGCCGGGCCGTTAGTTTGAAATAAGTTTAGAAAATTTATGAGCTTAAACTATTCATTTCAGGTGGCTGGACAAATCCCCTCATAGTGGAGTGGTTCGCGGACTACGCGAGAGTAGCCTATACTTTGTATGCCGATCGAGTTAAGGGTTGGATTACTATTAACGAGCCGGTTATTGTATGTGACTTTGTGTACAACTCGGGAATAATAGCACCTCCCATCAAAGACCCAGGATTCGCTAACTACCTTTGCACCAAGTTTCTTTTGCTGGCCCACGCTAAAGCTTGGAGAATCTACGATAAAGAATTTAAACCCAAGTACAATGGTTAGTTTCATCTTCTTTTACTGTATTACTTTCGTTAATCGTTATGGCCAAAAATAATTATTAATAATTGTACTATTAATTATTATTATTAATAATAAAGTAGTAAAAGGCCACTTCAAAGAACTAAAATGAGCTAAAAAGTGGAAGGAGTAGCCTTTCTAAATTCAAATTCTAAATTTTAAATTCAAAAGATCTGCATCACACCTTCTATTCCCCTGGTGTTGCAGATGGTCAGGGGCGACGGTGATCCCTTATATGTGTAATGTGCATTGAAAAATTAAAGTACTGACTTAGAATGTGAAAATATTTAATGCTTTTTAGTTATTTCTTTCTTTGTGGCTTTCACTTTTTATCTCTAGTTACTTTTTTACCGTTTTGAGTGGACTGAGGAATATCACAATATCAATGGTGACCGTTGCCGGAAGAGATCAAAACAGAGGCGCCTTTTTAGTTATGACGGGTTTTATTAACAGTGCGAAGGCCTGATGTCTTTCCAACATACCGAATGTAGGTCACGGGAGCCAGTCTCAACAGAGATTAGCTATCTTCGCAGGACAGAGTTATAGCGAAGAGATGTGAGCACTAGCAAAGGAGAACACTCTATTCCCCTACTCACATAATCCGATAAGATGGCAATCCGACACGACCAGAGAGAGAGAGAGAGAGAGAGAGGGATCAAGTGCGGTACCAACGGCTTTACGTGCTTTTCGGGGCACGTGGCTGAAACACCGTTCTTATTTTTTTGATGTTCTGATTTTCATTTATGGATATGTATATGTTTGGCGATTGGAACTTGTTTCTCCCAGCGCTGCAAATCATTGCTCGACGTCACTGCATCACGGAGCCGTCAAAATTTTTAAAAAGTTTAATTTTTTGTTAATATTGTACTTTTCGTTTATAGGTAAGGTCGGTATAACAAATCACCTCATTTGGATGGAACCTTTTTCTAATGAATACGAAGAACTGACTGAGAATTTACGTCATTACTTGGTATGGTATTTTACAGTCCGTAGAAGCACTCATTATAAGAAATACATCAGCATCACGCTAGTAATCTGTGCCGTCAAATGCCTTTTCTACGCCGATAATCAAGTTATTCTTGCGTCGTCGGCGGCCGAGTTGCAAATGATGGTTACATTAATGAACAGATAATTAAAAGAAAGGGGTATGAAAGTGAACGCAAGTAAGACGAAGGTTATGGTTTTTGAAAGAGAAGAAAGTAAAACGATTTGTGAAATAAGAATAGAAGGGGAGTTGATCGAGCAAGTAGATGAGTTTGTATATTTGGTTTGCGTATTTAGCAGGGATGGGAGATATGATAAGGATATAGAACGACAAGTGAATGCGGGAAATAGAGTAAATGGGGCCCTGCACTCTATTGTGAAGAGTCAAAATTTGTCGAAAAAGGCACGTATGGCAATTCACAATGCTGTGGTGGTCCCTACATTAACGTATGGTAGTGAAAGTTGGGTGTGGCAGAAGAAGCACGAGAGTTGAATGAACGCAGTAGAAATGCCGTCGTTAAGGAGTATGTTAGGGCTGAATCTGAATGACTGGGTGAGAAATTGTGTGATAAGAGAAGAGTATGGTTTGCAAGATGATGTTGTAACCAGGATTAAGAAACGAATGCTTCGGTGGTTTGGTCATGTGGAAAGAATGAATGAGTAAAGAGTGACAAAGAAAATTTATGTTGCAGAAGTGAATGGCAGAGTCGGAAAGGGACGTCCTAGGCGAATATTTATCGACCAAATTGGCGATTTATTGAAAACGGGCCAAATTAGGTGTACCCTTAACCGACGAGCATGTACGCGTAGGTATATGGATGTGAAGGAGGCGAGAGAGGTGTGTCAGGATCATACCAAATGGAAGTCTGTAGTCTCTGACTACCCCTCTAGGTGACAGGCATGAGTGTGAGTGTATGTATGTTATGTATTCTGTGCGGGCGTGGTACTTTGTCGATAGAGCTGACCTGTTCTAGCTGCAGCGTGGTTCTATTAATGCATCAATCCATTACAATCCTTCACTAGTCTCCTGCTGAACATAGACCTCCTTCAAGGCCCCAATTATAAAGCATGGTCCTGAGTCACCTGCATCTATCGAATTCCTGCATATCTTACTAGGTCCTCATTCCATTTAGTTAGGGGCCGCCCTACACTTCGCCTACCAGTACGCAGTAGCACCAGAGTAACCGACATAGCCCAACGGTAATCCGTAAGCTGAATATGCAATGGGCTGGCCATATAACATGAACCATCGAACACCGATGGGGAAGAAAGGTTCTCGAGTGGCAGCCTCGTACCAGCGTGGTTCTACCACGTATTAATATAATCATCACTACCTTCACCGTGACAGGCCATCAAAAGGCCACCGCTGAACATAGGCTTCCATCATAAATTGCCTGATAGGGGAGATATCTGCCACCATCTCCACTTTTAGTTTTCTCTTCTCCCTCTGTCGACTCTTACGACATCCACAGAATGAAATTAAAGGGTAGTAAATTCTATTAAGCTCCCACTGAGTGGTGTTATAGTGATGCATAAACCAATTTTTCCAGGTGTTCATTCAGTTGTGGTTGAATATGGTACATCGTACTCTTAAATTGTATTTGGTCTTCTATTTGAAACTGGTTAAATAAAATTGTTACAGGCTGGATTGTATTCCCATCCTATATATACAAAAGACGGTGGATGGCCACCAGAAATAGAGAAGATAATAGCAGAGAATAGTAAGCGGCAAGGGTACCCACGCTCGAGGCTGCCTGCGTTCACCCAAGAAGAAATCGACTTCATTAAAGGTACCTCTGACCACTTAATAAATTCGTCATCTTTAGCCAACGACTGCACAGCCCGAATAGACGCCTCATGCAAGGCGACTTTCTGTCAATCTACTTTAGTAGTGACCACATCCCCGACCCGTGAACGTCTTGCATGTGACTCGTGAATTTTCGACAAAATAAAATACAACAAGCGCGCAACACGGCTCTCTGTACAATAAAATGGTGCCGAAATAGTAGCCAAAAGTGTAATTTAAAAAAAAATGGCATCACATTTCATAGATAAGTAAATTTTAATTTCCAAATTCATTAATTAAAGTTAAATCAGAGCTAAACCTATATTTGTCACAAACCAACTCGCGTTGATTTATTCAGACATATTCGGATATTTTCGTACTATGCATCCCTTTCTTTTCAATGCAGTTCATTGCTGTACTAGTTGAACTATAATATTGGTACAAGTAAATATTATGCATGTTATCGTGAATGTTTTACAAACTTATATAAACGACATAGGTGATTTTTTTTTAATTAATGGTCGTTAATCAATATTTCAATTAATTATTGATTTAGTAATTAAATATATTTATTCAAAATTTCTTAAAAAATTCATAATAAAACATAACATAATTTTTAAGAGTTGGCACTCCGCTCTCTTTACTGCTAAGACGCCATGTCAAGACAAGTAGGAATCGAAAGGGACCTTGACAGTTTAAATAACTGTTGCTATTTTATTTTTAATAGTATTCTATTATCATTTCAATATTGTAAAGAAAGCTTGTTTTAGTAAAAATATTTTTTAAAACAGAAAATTATACTAATTTATAGTAGAATATGGTTCTGGTACTGATTAAGTACCGATTAACCACGCTGTTAACGTTCGCTGTAAATATAACAGAACACGAGTAACCCGGGTTCGATCCCCGCCGGCACCAATGAAATTGTTAATTGCAATTTTAAGTGCTGATTTACCACGTGCTCGGCGGTGAAGGAAAACATCGTGAGGAAACCTGCATGTCTGAGGAATAAGAAAAAATATTTCGAAGACATGTGAAGTTCACCAACACGCACGCAAAACCCTCTCAGAAATGAGGGGAGGCCTGTGTCCAGCAGTGGGACGTATATAGGCTGTAACTTTACTTTACTTTACTTTTACTGATTAAGTAGACTTGGTATTAAATTTATCAGTTAAAGTTCCCATCACTATTTGTCTGTTAGCAAGTGTTGCAACCCTGATTTCAACCAATAAGCGAGCATTTCAACCCGCCGCCCCCATACCGCTTACTTCAGACTTTTGACAGACAAGTTTGAATGCAGAAGTACATACATTAGACGTCTATTCGTATTGTGTAGGCGTTGCCTTTAGCCTTTTCAAATCCAAAGACATAAGTTGACACGGGTAGACTTGGGAAAATTCCAAATTGAGTTGAAAAATCGTAAACCAAGTGCGCCCAGTACCCAAACTGAATTTACAAGCAGTCTTCGACTAGAAGGCGCCAACGAATCGAAAACAAACTAAAGTAATTTTATTTGCGAGATAGTTAGGTTTGATACTTAAATAAAAAAGTTTGATTTATGAAATGGACATGAAAAGGACATAATATGTTTTTCTAGGAACAAACATTGTGTCTATTTAACTCACAACTGCATCAAAGTACTTATAAAAAGTTATGTGCGTGTGTGTGAACTTGAAATATGAATAATGAATAAATACATCAAGAAACTTTGAAATTAGAATTTTTTATTTATACGTGGTAGAGCTATGCTGCATATTATGACTGCACGTATGAGCCGGCTGGACCGGGGTAGGATGCTCTTAACAGCACGCGTTTAACGCGTTAAACAGCAGAATAATGTCGTGTTTCGAAAATTGAGTTAACGAGCTAACGAGTTTAACGAGGCATTATATCTTAGTTCTCAGGGTTGACAACGCATGTGCATTTTAATTCTTGTTTGGAGACTTTAATATAAATATTCTAGACGCTTCCTCCACCAATATTAAATTTAGATCATTGTTTAAATCTTATGGTCTTTTTAATTTATTTTTTTAATAATTCGTATTGCTGAATCTAGTGCAACATGTATAAATAACATTTTTACAAATGTTAAGCCGTTCAATAAATATATAATTCTAAAACTGAGCTTTGATCACTGTAGACAATTAGTTTTGTTACCTTCTGTTCACAAAAAGCAAGTAGATAAAAAAGTTGTGTAGGTTCCAGTAAATGCACGTCGCTTAGAGAAGTTTAGAACTAACATAGTAAAAAAACTTCCATCACTTTCATACCAGAATAATCCAGATTTATTGTATAAACATTATTTAAACTTATTTGTAATGAATTTGATAATACTTTTACTTCTTAAACATTCTCCTTGAAAAATCGCATGAATGGGCGACAGTAGGAGTCCATAAGAGTAAACAAAGGTTATATGGACTTTACAATGAAGTGTCATATAATTCTAACATCGAATTTAGGTAATATGTAAAAAAAATATTTAAAAACATTTAAAAGAGTGTGCTCCATAGCCAAATATTTGTATTTGAGCAACAAAATAAAGACTGCTTCTAATAAAATTAAAATGGCATGGAGTATAATTAATAGTGAAACTGGTAAGGTCAACTCTCGCAATTCAAACTACCAGTTAAATTTTAACAATAAATTAACTAAATCAGATCAGGACGTTGCAATGGTTTTTGAGAAATATTTTACTGATATTCCAAACTTGACCACTAAGTCACTGAATTCTTCTCCTGCCGTCGCCAAATCATTACTTAAACAATATGTAATTTCGTGTACAAAGAATTTTACATTTCATAAAGTATCATCAAAAGATATTGTAAAATTTTTATACTAGTATCGAATCTGGTGTGTTTCCTGATTTAATGAAACCTATTTCTGTACTTAATGGTTTCTTATATTTACGCGAATACTACACATGGAAATAATACTAGTTTTTTACGGAATTTATCGCGTATATTTAACTTTTTAAATACCCGACGTTGCGAGAGCATTACAGCAACCATGTTCACGGTAAGGACTAAGATGTTCAACGTCCAGATGTCATAGTTAAACGCGGTTACCATCGATTAAAATTTAACTTTTGTTCCGATCTACACAGAATGAACTTATGGTATCATGAAGTCTTACAGTTGTATGCTTGGGTTGGGATTTAATTTTATTTATTATAGGATCCCAAGCAGATGGTAGCACCCAGCCATCTTCTCTATTGAAATTAGGATGTTTTTTTGATTTCAATAGCCTCGCGAATCATCCTTGGAAGGAATTGGTGTTCTTTAGCGAGGATTTGTGGTCTATCAAATCTGATGTAGTGACGGGGACGATCCTGTACGTGTTATGTTCTTGTATCTCCTGTATATGTTCTTTAACGCGGGTTTAAATTGATCTTTTAGTTTGTTCTATGTAGGAGAGACCACATTCACAATCAAGCTTGTACACTCCTGCATCTTGCAGAGTGACATTACACTTGACTGATGGTAAAAACTGACCAATCTCTCGACTGTGGCCGGCTTCACTCGTTCTCTATGACGTAGGCACGGGACCCGAAGCTTGTTGTCATGCAAAACTTGCTTGACGTGTTGGAGCTCGGCAGCCGGGTGTTTACAGTCACAGATCCCTCGTGCTCTCTGAAACAAAGTATTACCCACGGTAGCTAACTGTGAAGGATGGTGGTGAGAATCACCGTTTAAATATCTATCTGTATGGGTCTTTTCTCTATACACAGTATGGCTCAAGGTGTTATCAGGATTCCGAATTACTAACACATCTAGAAAAGCTAAGGAATTGTTTGCCTCTAACTCCATTGTGAACTGAATTTTAGAATTTATAGACTTAAGATGGTCTGAAAATGCAGTTACTTTATCTAAAGGTAGAAAGGAAGACGACACTTTCACAATTCTAAAGGAGAACTTACAGAATGCATTGGGTATATTCTGTGACTTATCCAAAGCCCTCGATTGTGTTCACCATGAAACATTAATCAGGAAACTTCAACACTACTGTGTAAGAATTGATGCTCTTTAATTAATTATTTCATATTTAAGTAACAGAACGCAAAAAGTTGTCATTAATAGTATGAGTGTTTCCGGGTCGATAGTACGAATGGGCTTGCCTTAGGGCTCAATTCTCGGCCCCTTTCTGTTTCTTGTATATATTAATGACTTACCTTAATATTATTTGCTGATGACCCTTCATCTATTTTCAAATTGAAACGTCAGTTATTAAATTACGACGAAGTAAATAATGCTATAGTTAAGTAAGTCAATTTCTTTAATGTTAATATTTTGCATTTAAATGGAACTAAAACTAAATGTATGAAATTTGTATCTCCGAATGTCAAACACGTTAATACTAATGTAATTTTAAAAGATGAGGAGCTGAGTCTTGTTGATACTACCATTTTTCTTGGAATCAAACTAGACGCAAAGCTTCAGTGAGGCCTCCATATATTAAAACTAGCTAGCTTAGTTTTGCAGCATACGCTGGAAAAAAGGTAAGAACTCTTACCAGTGTTGAAACTGCTAAACTAGTTTACTTTAGCTATTTCCATAGCATAATGTCATACGGTATTTTACTATGGGGACACGCGACTGACACGGATATTATATTTTTTATACAGAAGAGGGTCAGTACAGCAATATATGATTTAAAATGGAGAGTCGCTCTAACAAAATTTTTAGGAAATTAATATATTAACTCTGGCCTCTCAATACATTTATGAAAATGTAATGTACGTACACAAAAATAAAAGTAGTTATGAAAAAAATAAGTGATATTCATTCTGTAAATACACAAGAACAGACACAAGCTAATAGTACCAGTTACTCGACTCCACCGAGTCAGTAATTCATTCTTGGGGTGATGTATACGCTTTTAAACAAAATCTCAGAAAATATACAAAATGTGACATAAACAAAGTTCAAAAACTTTAATATACTAAGTTTGTGTAAAAAGGGGTATTATTATAATATTAAGGAATTCATGGATGATAATAACCCCTGGGAAGGGTGATCGCTACCAAGATAGTTCTAATTTGTGTTGTGTTGTTAATTCTAACATACAAGATTGTAAGCTCTTATTTAAAAAATAATAGTCCCGCTGGGTTTCTTGCTGTTTCTTCCCAGGTCAGAAATTTCTTTATACGAACCCGTGGTAATCAAAAAAAGGTGACTTTCAATAACTTATTATATTTATAATTCACATTAAATATAAAAGTTTCTGATTCTGTTTCTGTTATTGTTGTCAGTTGTGTCATTCTATAAAAAGTGGCCTTTAAACCCTAGCCGCACCTTAAACTTCTGTCGGTGATATTACAAGGTATGTGCAATGTTGTACAAGACGCATCGTCTGAATATCATTCAGGGCGTTAGTTGAACGGCGCCATTTTGTAAAAAGGCTAGGCTGTTTTAATTGAACGGCTAATTAAGCGACATTTATACCGTAACATTAAATAATGTAAAATTGTTATCAAATAAAAATAATAATCAGAGAAATTTCATTGTTATATCTATTATGAATCTATCTATTCCAGGGACATATGACTTCTACGGTTTTAACTTCTACACAAGCAGACTAGTCCGTAAAGCTAGAGATGGAGAAACCCTCTCAAACTGGCCGCTGGAAAATGGCTGTCCAGAGCTCAGTGCGGCCATGGAAGTCCACCCCTCTTGGAAAAAAACGGAATCAGATTGGTTCTGGGTACGTACTGTCTGCCGGAAATATATTTTTAATGTGATTTGCACCATTTTTTCACCAGATTTATTAAAGGGATGCCTCGGTGGTTTGAACACGTAGAAGTAATGAATGAGAAAAGAGTGACAATGCAAATTTATGCTGCAGGAATGAGAAACTGAGTCGACAATGGTAAAATGACGGTCTTGTTCTTTATCTCACGCCCGCAGCGGTGATTAATTATTGGGTTCCTTTCCACATATCACATAACACATCTTGTTGGGTTCGGGAAACAACGCGGTGGGGGTGATCTCTGAGTAAGATGTTCAACTCAGAACCTTAACCACTCTCTCAAAAAAAAAGGGGTTGACGACTAAGATTATGGGTCCCTAAGGAATGGTCCCGTTCCTGACGTTAGTCATCTACTTAGTGGACTGTATTTTCACTCACTTCCCTACTTTTAGAGTGGACACTGAAGGAATAATTACTAATTGGTAATTATTAATTACACTAGACATTTTTCTGAATTTCATGTATATTTATTTTGTAAAATTTTGATGAGAACATAATGTCAAGTTTACTTAAACAACCGCAAGGTTTTTAAATTGGTGAGTATTTTATATCGGTAGGAAAAAAACTAGAGATAGGATTTTTAAAGTAATTTTCTCGTAGGGGTCTGAGGTATCAGTTAATTTTGGAAAAGGTGTCTTTTGCCCAAATTTTTTTAGGGATCCCTGCACTAAAATGTATATAAAAGAATACCGAGAATATGGCCAATTTGCGTTCTATAAGAATATGGCAGTTTGCTCTGAGAGTTACCTTTAGTTTTGAAGTTCTGCCTACCGTTACAGACACAGAAATCTAAATAATAAGACACATTATTTAGATTTCTGTGGTTACAGCCTATTAAAGTCCACTGCTGAACTTATGTTCCTATGCCATTCTGCGTAGCCTAAATTCAATTCATCTGTTGGAATATATATATATATATATATATATATATATATATATATATATATATATATATATATATATATATATATATATATATATGCGTAATACATAAACTCCCACGCCAGTCACCCACGCATCTTTCACATCCATTTATCGGCGCATACATGCTCGCCGGTTAAGACTACTCTTAATCCAATGGCGCGGCCCGTATTCCATAAATCGCCAATTTAGTTGATAAAATTCAGCCAAGTGTATCCCTCTGTTGGTGACGCAAGATAAACATCTCCTTAAATCATTCATTATTTCTTAAGAAAAATGTCAAATTTATATTTATTTTGTAAAATGCTAATATCTAAAAGAAATAAAGATATTGTATTAAACTGAGTCATGCAATCGGCTATGGAGTGCGAATTAAGAACGTTTTTATTCTCCGTAAGCACTTTTGATTAATGTTTACTTTATGTTTTATACTATTATTTTATTTACTGCTAAGATATATGTATTAATAATAGGTTAGACAAGGATATTTGAATGCTGGTGTGATATTATATATATTAGAGTGGGATGGCAAAGCCTTCTATCTGATCCCGAGTGAAAAGGAACCAAATGGGTGTGTAAACGTTCAACTAAGAAACAGTAGGGGGAATCGAGGCTTCTCTCGATCCGGTCTCCTATAACGTTGGGTTCGGGAACAACGTATGTGATCTCCGCAACGGAGTAACACACAAGGGCGATAACCTCTTCCTTTTCAGAAAATAGGTTCAGGCGGGGATTACGGGTCTTCCGAAGTCGTCCCGGTCCCAACGCCTTAATTCTTCGATGTGGACTGTATAATTTTGAGGGATGAATTTCTTGGGAATAAAACAGCAATTATCTTCAAACCGTTCCGTGAGAAAGTAATTACTTTTCCCTATCACTTCCCTACACTTTTTCTTTCTTCTTCTTATTGACTGCTGGTCTTGCACTTATCCCGAAGTTTCTCCGAACTTTCCCGAAACTTCCCGAAGGATTCCCGAACTTCCCCGAAGGATTCCCGAACGAATTGCAATAAAACTCATTTACTGAGCTACCCCAGAGCAATACGCGAAAGTGAGCTGCGCCATTCGCGCGCTTGCGCAACTCAATTACATGAATTTGTTCTATTACTCTCTCACGTTTTACTTAATTACTTTATTTGCATAAGTCATACATCAACATAATTTACCTGTATAGATAGCACAAAACAATATCTACATCACATCAATATCACAAAAGCCTTTTATTTATTTAACAAAGTATGCCTATTTTACTCACAAGTTCAAAGTCGAAATTACTTAAATATTTAACATAGAAAGTATAAAACAATGTTTTCCACTTGAAATTATACATAAGTTAACCAATACAACAGTTTTTTACATTTTCTCTATTCATTTCACTATTAAAACACTTTTTAATTTCTTATACAAAACTATCATTATTTCACTTATACACAGGTATTTTCACATAAAAATGACACAGAATTCACCTTTTTAGCACGTACAATCAACCTGAAATGTTTTACAAGTCATTTTTACATAAATTGCTGAAATTACAAATATTTAATTTTTTACATATTTGGCCTCCTAAGGGCGTGGCTAGCGTGCATCCGTGAACTCACACTATTTGAACAACTAACTTTGCACGGCTCTCGACTATCAGAAAAAATGAAAAGTCTAGTATACACCAATATCGACAGTATTAGGTGAATAAATGCTTCTACACAATTTTCAAACTGTAGGAAACTATTTCTAATCAGATTCTTATCAGTTATCATGTTTCTTATCAGATAACAATGTAAGTGAATGTTCTCATAAATCAATCATAGCAAATAATCATTTATTTTCATACAAAACATATCAAACTCATATAAGGCAATACTTATGCAATTAATTTCCGTTAATTCTATTTATGCACAGAGTGATCATCTCGACCAGGGTACAAATCCGATCTCTAACTTCACTTTAATATTCATTTGAATTTACATCATTGGAAAGATGATTTCAACCGGGGAACAAATCCGGTAGCATAATTTATATCTTAAAATTCCCTATATGGATTTATTAAGAGATATTACTTAAGAAAACAATAAACTAGTCCGGCCTGGGAGTCGAACCCAAGACCTTCATATCATTAATTCGACATTCTTTAAGATTTAACTAAGCATTTTCTTATTAGAACATTGCTATTGGACAATTTGCCTTTTAGAAGCTATTCGTCATCGGTTGACTTAATAAACTGAAATATTCTTATAGGCGCGTCGCCAACACCGAGACACTTGTAGAAATGAGTTTGTCAACTCAAGCGAGTGCCTAGAATTACTGGACATTAAAGCCAGAAAATATCAAAATGCTGATTAAAGGTGATATCTGTTATTATAAAGTGTGAAATGCACGTAATGCATGGTTTAGATAGGTAGCATTTGAAGATATGAACAGTTACATATTATGAGTTTTCGTTAATGTCGACCCTGGGAAACCGATGTAGACCCTAAGGGGTCGATATCGATCATTTTGGGAATCCTCGTTATAGTGTGTGCGCAGGAATTACGCAATTTAAGCTTGTAAAAGTCCCTTCCTTTTCACGTTGTTGAATCACCGCAATACCATGTTGAGTTATCGTTTTTTTTAATGGCATGACTATTGATGTATACTAGTCACACGATTAATAATCTAAAACATAATTAAAACTCACTGTGGCGTCGTTTTATCCATGAAAATGTCCTCTAGAATGTAGAATAAAAGATATCTTTATTTTTTAACCGACTTCATAAAGAAACTCTTCGACTGTATGTTTTTTTATGTTTGTTACCTCCGAACTTTTTTCTTGGTGAACCAAATTTAATGATGCTTTTTTATTTGAAAGGTGGTGCTTCCGTGTGGTTCTATAAACATTTGAAGATCTGACCAGTAGTTTTTGAGTTATCCTTAATAATACGTATTTAAGTGACTTCGAATATGATTTTATCATTTTATTATATTGAAATCGGTTGTACATTTTTTTTTAATTTTACCACTTGTTTGTTTTACGTTACTATTGTTACGAGCTTCGGGTTCGTGACAATAAAAACTGCCGATTGAATAACCAAAATTGACACTTTAATTACTGAACACCAATTAAAACTTAAATCACACTAATAATTATTCATCACTCACTTTATTTCACTCCGAAAGCTTCGCTCGTAACGCCAACTCAATACTACCCCAATCGCGGCGTGCAAGGGCTTTAAATACGCCTTTTCCACCGAAACATCCAGAATATTCCAGCAAATACCGGCCCCAACCGACCAGGCTATGGAATGCTTTACATCCTGTAATCATACCGACTCTCTATACCCTACAGACAGGAACACATTAGTGCAAACACTACATTTGGCGGCAGAAAGAGGTAAGAGGATTGTATCTACCCAGACGAACTTCTAGATAGAAAGAGAGTTCTATTAACAAGAGAATCCTCCTCCACTTAATAAGTGTAACATTATTCAATATATAGGAAATGTATGATATGAAGATCTATTTAATGTATTCCAGATTAACCCGGTCGGCATTCGAAAGATGTTGGGTTGGCTGAAGAAAACGTACGGAGACATGGAAATCTTCATCTTGGAGAACGGACTTGCTACTAAGGACTACAACTTGAATGATGAAGATAGAATTAAGTACTACAGAGACCATTTGGAACAGGTATTGTAGTCATGACATTATGTAACAATGCTATTTAATACTTTTATGTAACGGCAAGTGCAGTGCATGGTCAGGTAAGCTGAATTCTCTAGATGCATGAATACCTCGTTTAAAAAAATTATTTAAAGTATACTGTTGCATAAGATGCGTCAATACTGCTCATAAGTATATAATACATCTTGGTGAAGCTAGTGGTTCCTGGATTCGAATCCGGAAACGGATGGTCACTAAATAGTTAGGGTGACTATGTTGCCCTGCGCATTAGGATCGAAGGAACCTGAAAATGGAGCGGCCACAGGCTGTCAATTCAAATCCGGGCTGAAGAACCGCAAAATGGTGGAGCGATAGGGTCTCTGGTTCGATTCCCGGGTCGGGCCAAATTTTGTTATGCTATTACCTAATCTGTTATTTAGCCAGTGCCCTGTGATGGTCAATGTAACGGAGCACTTACCGGGGTAGGGTTCCTTCTGCTTCAGCGGCCTCGAGGATGATGCCCCTGGTGTTGAGACTGCGTTGGAAGAGAGCGGAGCGCGACGAAAAGTTGCACTATGCGAATCGGTTAATACTAGGTTGTGGTTGAGGTGCAATGAAAACTAGCGTTGATCTTCAACTACGATGCAAGAGAGCAAGCGGCGGCAGCGGGCGTCCTTTTATCTGTCGGCGATCTCCACCTTGCATTTAGGCGGGGCGCGTTTCTCCATTGGCCGAAAAGATGACGCCACATTCTAGCCCCCCCCCCCCTTTCAATACATGTGGAATGGAATACGCGAATGGGATGGAGAGGGGCACTGACTAAACAATAACCAACTAAACAAAATGTAAAAGTACCCGTTTTTATTGCGCAACAACATCTAATATATTACACACTACTGTTTGGTGATTTGGCTAATCGCTTATTTCAGAGGTTAAGTTCTTCAACGTAAAGCTATTCTTCCCCTACCCTTCTGAGCCTATTATTTCTTTTAGAATCTTCTTTTTATATATTTTTTCCTTTACAATATGCTGATGTGTCACATTGTGAAGTTTTTGGGAGATTTTGACGACAGCTCAACCCAGCGGACTGTTGATGACGACAACCACTCAAGTTAATAAGGCGCCCAAGCGATCAAATTAACTTGAGGTTTATATCAATATCAAAGCACTTGTTTCGTCGCTTTCTCTAATAGTTCATACGCGCAGACAATTAATTCACAAAATCGCATCACTTTACGAATCAAAATCCACTTCAAACCATTATTGAAGCGACAAAACGGGAGCGACAATCCTTCGAAGGCTAAGTTCCCGCCAAAACCTATTTAACCCCTTAACGCCCCTTCTAGGTCTCTAACGCCCTCAAGGGGGCGTTATCGTCCACTTTGAGAAAGACTGGGTTATTTTGCGTTTAATACTTACAAATTAGGAAGAAGAAAATTTCTGAGTTTGATTCTTACTATTTTTCTTTTATCCTTGTTCTATTCTATATTTCATTACGTGGTAGAGCTAAGCAGCAGTTATATTATAGTTGTCGAACGAAAGGGCGGCTACGCTCTTAAGGAAAACCAATAAAACAGCAGCTAGATGCTGTAGTGTTACGTATGATGAGTGTAGAGAACCGGAGACCCTTATAACTAGAATCTAATGTGTTAGTACTCTGGAGTGAGAATTTCGATCCTTAATAGAGGATAAATGTATATGTCTATGGACCACAGCATTCACTTACCATCAGGTGAACTGTGTACTCGTTTATAACCTTATTCTATTAAAATACTTTTTAATTAAATACAAAATAACCGATTGAATGTCTTTACTCTTAATAGAGGATAAATGTATATTTCTATGGACCACAGCATTCACTTACCATCAGGTGAACTGTGTACTCGTTTATAACCTTATTCTATTAAAATACTTTTTAATTAAATACAAAATAACCGATTGAATGTCTTTACTCTTAATAGAGGATAAATGTATATGTCTATGGACCACAGCATTCACTTACCATCAGGTGAACTGTGTACTCGTTTATAACCTTATTCTATTAAAATACTTTTTAATTAAATACAAAATAACCGATTGAATGTCTTTACTCTTAATAGAGGATAAATGTATATGTCTATGGACCACAGCATTCACTTACCATCAGGTGAACTGTGTACTCGTTTATAACCTTATTCTATTAAAATACTTTTTAATTAAATACAAAATAACCGATTGAATGTCTTTACTCTTAATAGAGGATAAATGTATATGTCTATGGACCACAGCATTCACTTACCATCAGGTGAACTGTGTACTCGTTTATAACCTTATTCTATTAAAATACTTTTTAATTAAATACAAAATAACCGATTGAATGTCTTTACTCTTAATAGAGGATAAATGTATATGTCTATGGACCACAGCATTCACTTACCATCAGGTGAACTGTGTACTCGTTTATAACCTTATTCTATTAAAATACTTTTTAATTAAATACAAAATAACCGATTGAATGTCTTTACTCTTAATAGAGGATAAATGTATATGTCTATGGACCACAGCATTCACTTACCATCAGGTGAACTGTGTACTCGTTTATAACCTTATTCTATTAAAATACTTTTTAATTAAATACAAAATAACCGATTGAATGTCTTTACTGGAATGCCTCATTCCCATCGGTACGTGAAGCTGAACTTTTATAATGTCACATCGACTTCATAACGGGAAGGTGGGGAATTAGGGTTAGAGGGTGGCGTAACGCACTCGCACTTCTGCATGTGCAGTTTACACCAAGTAGATGTTTAAAATATCTTATCTTAATCTGTCACGACAATGACGATGTCATATTCATAATGTTACGAGCTTGAGGTTCGTGACAATAAAAACTGCCGATTGAATTACCAAAATTTACACTTTTATTACCGAACACCAATTAAAACTTAAAACACTAATAATTAACCACACTGATTCACTTTATTTCGCTCCGAAGCTTCGCTTATCTCGCCGAATTCAATACTCCTCCCATCGCGTCTTGCAGCGCCTTTAAATACATTTTTTACACCGAAACGAGCGCCGACCGACCAGACGCAGAAAGTTCGAGTGTGGGGCTTTTAGAAAGCTTAATTCTTCTGTTCGATACTAGATGGCGCTGTTGGTCGAAAGTCAAGATCGACATTTTCTAGGAAGCCCTACTCGCTCTGGTCCTCGACACTAGATGGCGCTAGTGCCACGTACCATACGTCAACTTAGGCGCGCAACAATAATAATACAGTGACAAACTAGATTATGATCCAGTACATAGTAAGCCTATTTAGTCTTAAGATGTGATGGCGCGTTTGTACGCTGATTCTTAATTAAGGAAAGATGTAGTTGTCTATGGATCACGGTATCCATAACGTTAACGCTCGTGATTGGTTGTTTGAAGGATTTTGCGAATGCGAGCGACAATTTTGATCGTTTTTTTTTGCTTGGAGGATGTTCGCAGCCGCTAAAGCATAAATAAGTAATAATTATAGACGACTGCTATTATAACGCCAGTGTGCAAGAGCTTGTGCATATTTTCGTCTGTTATTATATCCCGACGACAGGCAATTTAAGGACAGATATAGCATTTTCCACTAAAGTGTTCAAGTTTTGTGTAAATTTAATAAATCTAAGGTCTACCATCTCTATTAAATAATTAAATCAATTCCTTCAAAATTTTTTATACAGAACATTTGATCGCTTGCTCGCATTAGAACGAACACTTCTTTATATTTTTTGCTTTTAATTTAAACGTTATATTATTAAAAATCACGGACGAGTTACTCGTCTGTGTTAACAATGAAATATACAGAATGGGTCCCACATATATGCAATAAATGAAACCATATACTTGTTATCGCCTTTGCTGACTATATACAAAAAATTAACGTAATCGGTCCAGTAATTAGGTCAAAAAGTAGAGTTTTAATTTTAAGCAAATTTGAACACTCTATAGAATTGGGTCACTAAGTCAATGATTCAATGAACTTGAATCCTTGAACATTAAAAAGCGACGTAGCCACGCAGTGCAAACTGTTACTATTGCGACATATCGAAAGCGGTGTCTTTTGTCGGCGTGCCACCCGCGTGCAACGTTGTCACTCTTCCAAGGGGTCAAGGTACGTTGACTAAACAGAGTGTTCACTTTTACTGAATTTATTTTAATATTTATTTTGTTTGAAAATTTCACTTTTTTATTTTACGGGTTTTAATTTAATATTTAATTTTTCTACACTTCTACGGACTAGTATTACTTGTGGTTTCATTTATTGCATATATGTGGGACCCATTCTGTATAATTCACAATCTCATTATACTAACACAAACTGTCGAATGTCGAAACCTTGATCAAATTACGAAACATAAACAAATAGTTAATAAAGATATAATAACCACAAATTTGATAGACAGATGCTAATATTAAGACCACTAAATAAAAATGTCATTCTGAATTTGGTTAGTTTATCTCACGAAACGAACATGCTACCAACATAAGAGAAGGAATAAACGCCATTCACGGTGAGCAAACGCGAATCGAAAGGTAAGCTTCAATTTTATCCACTTGAACGTCCAAGCGACGCGGCAACAATACGAGTACACTTGAACGTCCTGGCCCCGGTCGTTGATGTTTATATACGGTCGGATCGCGACCAGTTCGACTAAAACGGTTACCATGGAGAAAGTTCTTTACCTATATCAGAATAAAAATCACCCACAAAAAGCTAATGGAATGCAGAAATTAATTATGATAAAAATAATTTACTCAATTGACGTACAACAGGTAAAAAAATGATAGATTTTAGAAATTTAGATGAAAAACTAACATTTTTTTTATTTTCTTCGTTAATATCGCAGTATCATTTTATTTATATATACTTATTGTACAATTATTAAAATACATGATCTACCCTATCCAATAATGCCAATAACGTTACATGAATGTTAAGTATTTCTAGGCAAGAATACCTAAAATATCGACATACTCCGTTCTAGAGTATGATCTCCCGGGCGGCTATAAAATGTGGTAAGATGGTAAGATGGCCGCCCGCTTTAAGGTCCGTTTACACGATTATTTGAGCATGGGTATATATAAAATATAATTAAAAAAAAAATATGTTCACAAAAACTTTATTTTTATTAAATATAAATAGATAAAATATGTAACTGAAATACTTATTTTTTTCTTTCTTATTTTTAAAAATTTAGTTTAAAATTATATGTACCATAACCGTTGAATGAAAAGAGAAATATCATAAAATTATACCTATAAAACAGCAACCACAATTATATGTTATACACAACGCTATTTCAAATTAATTAGCGAAATTTTTCCAAAAATTAAAAAGAAGTCGGTGTCAAAAATAAAAAAGCAACCATATTTGTTTATAACGATACCCATAAACCTATAAAGCAACAACCATTTATATGTTAAAAAGGTGCAGTGCCAAATAAAATAAAAAAGCAGTCACGACAAATCATGTTAAATACACTCGTAATTTCTCGTTTGACGAACCCTTAATATGACACATATCATAAACGTTACGGGCGGCTGTAGTCACCCGTACATTAAACCTGGGGAACAGAATACAAAAACGTAAAATCCTTACTACTTTCACTATTTTCCTTTCACTTAAGTGTATTTAAATATAGTTAATAACCTGTTTTACTAATTATAAGAAATATTTTATTAAAATAAATAATATACAATACAAGAACTTAACGAAAGACCGACACACAAAGGCGAAGTTATCGCATGTCGACTTCATCACATATAAAAACATCATAACAGACTTTGGATTTATAAAACTTGAAGATATACGAAAAGAAAACATCCTGTGGATTCTTTTATATATAACACTAGTACAAAAGTATAATAAATATATTATTACTTACATTTTAAATGAAGAACTCACAGTAACACCGGCTACTTCACAAAATTTGACACAACGTTTTTTTTTTTTCGATGCCATCTGTTACCTGGCATGGACCTTTTACTAACCCATAGACGCGTTTTTAATATAGAGCCATCTAGTATAACATTCATAAAGCTTTTTGTAACATTCTATAGATTAAAAGTCGTTTAAAGTTCAGAAGTCAGAGAGGCCGCTCTAGTCGCCCTAACGTTTAACCGAAAAAAGTTTTAGGCGACTATGGTCACCCGGAAGTTTGAGTGGGTAACTTATACTCGCTCGTCTTCGCTTGTCGATACCGACGACGTTAACTCGGTTAACGCAATAGTGAAGTCATTCGATTAATTTTGTAGAACTCGCACTAGGCACACAGGTGGTTTGTGTGCTCATTTTTCACCATTACTTCTATAAAAACTTCAATTAAAGATTTAGAAAACCGTCAAAACTAAAAGAGTTGAAGATATTCAAACGGCTGAACAGATTTTCTTTAAACATAGCTAAGAATACTTTCTATTAAAACACCTTTCAAACGAAAAAAACTTCAATCAAACGAAAAATAACTTATAGTATTGCTGTCTATCTCAGCTAAGGAGAAAAAATAAATATAAATATTGTATTCTTCTACTTAATTAGCCCGTAAAATTCCACTACTGGCTTAAGAGCCATTCAGGCCATTGTAGCCATTTAGGCTTCATTGTAGGGAGGGTTAACTTAATTGTCATGCTTGACAAGCTGATTGACGATGGCAGTACTAGACGTGAGCACCGTTGATTCTGCCTCCCGTTGCTAGTAGGGGTGTTTTGCGCCTGGCGTAAACGCGATAACCGCTGTCTGTCGGTTCTCTTATGATATTAACCATAACTGCCTCATATGACACGCACGGTACGAAACGGGGTGATGGATTTCGTTACGCAGCACCATAGAGAATATAACCACTAGAGAGCGTATAGGCAGATTTCTTCTAAGCATACGACTCACTACTGCGGGCCGGGGGACGAGGAAGAACGCGTGGCTGCAAATGGTCAAGTTACGTTGTTATGGCTATCTTTAGGGTTGCTCTTCTTAATAAAGGAAAATATTCGTTATCGATAAAATGGATTTTATCATTATGAAAAATACTCAATTAAAATTATAGAAATAATATTTAATCAAAATCAATCAGTTACAACGAAAACATTTATTTATTATATTATTATTGATTTTTAAAATGAATTAATTTGTTATATTTATTTCGAATTAAAGTTTAAGGGTCCTGATTGTTCTTTGTAAAAAAATTTAAACAAGCGTCTACATATTTGTAAATTATGCATCTTGCTAATTAAATTAAATGATTTGTTGATTCTATTTCAAATTGATGAAAATGAATATACGGGAATCAATAATACCTAATCAGAGATTTTAAAAACCGTTCTCATAAAATAATTGGTACTATATTTTGAAGACAGCACTTTTGAACCACTCTCACTGCTCGCTCTCTTATTAAAAATTTTACAACGACGACAAATATATATTACTGTAGTGGATCCGTACAATAACTTGTTTTTAGTGTCCTTTTGAAATTGTAAGCCGTTCTGATTTGGTACACCAATCTACTTGTAACTAATTTAACTAGGTAACTATAAATTCTAACCAAGAAAAAATACCGACAAACTAAGAACCTCCTCTTTTTTCTGGAGACGGTTAAAGGTAGATAAGTATTTTTTCACGGTGTGTGAATTGAATAATCTTTTTATTAATTTTTATTTTATTATTTTCGATATCGACTTTGAGCTATTAAAGGTAACAAACAGTAAGTCCTAATGTTTACGATAAACATACAAAGGGAAAGAAAGGGATAGAAGCATTAGAATTGTCTAATAATAGAACGAGACTTTTCCAAAAGACATCAACGCGCGGTGGAATAACCATGTCGTTATTTCACCGGCCACCGTTTTAGATAGACCCCTACAATGGCTCATAATTTGAATAAATCAACAATAATTTTCGTATTTTTTACTTAGCAATGAAAAGTTACTACATTCTTTTTGGACATCTGTCCTGGAATGTTTTCCACACCACTTCACTTCATACAAAATTTGCATTAATTTAGCGCGCACACAGGTCTAACACTTGGACAATACTAAATTGGTTAATAGTACCATAGCCGATGCATAGGCGACAAAATACTAATAGTTTTCGAGCGTCGGGGCACTGTATGCGCAGTCAAGTGGTTATATAGTCTTTGCGCAGCACGTACGGTCAACAAATAAATTGTTGAAAAATAAATTAATTTCTTATTTGAATAAATTTACAATAGGTTTTATACCGTGTAGAGATGGTGTAGGGATATCCACTGCCCCGTATCGCCTCAAAGGTGGTGTAAAAGGCTACAATATAGGATATGGGTAACAGTATCCTCCTAAAACAGATTAAAAAATTTGCAATTGTTACATACCTACCATACATTTGTGGAGGAGGCCTAAGCTTGACACTGGATTTTTTGATGGACTGCAAAGCTTACAATAGTTTTCAATTCTTGTTAATTTTGACAGATATGGCTGGCGATCACTGAAGACGGTGTCAACGTAACACGGTACACTGCGTGGACGTTGGTGGATAATTTTGAGTGGATTTTCGGGTATTCGTAAGTATTGCTTTCAAAGCGTTAGATAACATGTTTGTGGGGCATATGTGGCCCTAATTTTTATAAATTTGAAGTAACAAACGAACTAACAGTCTATCATCTGCAGTGCATGGATACCTAAGTAAGAAAGGCAAGGAAGGAAGATGCGTTGTTACCTCTGAGGACTAAGATGGAAAAACTCATAAATTGTAATTACACTAGATCTCTTTATCCTTCAGACTGGTGCATAGCGGTGCCGCCATGTTGTTGGGCAGAAATAGCTAAGAGAGTGGTACCTACACAAACGGACCGAAAGAAGTAGTGTAGACTGCGGTGTTCCCTGTCTAGACAGACTTTTAGGCAGAAATCGAAGTGCAACGAGGGTGGATTGAAAAGTACTCGGCCTAACCAAGAAAATAAACACATACTAAATCAGTTATATTTTGATTTTTCTACATAATCACCATCAAGTTCAATACACTTTTGCCACCTCCCCTTCCAAGCATTTAGACCGTTGAAGAAAAATGATTCTTCCTTAGAGTCAAAATATGCATCTACAGCTGCTTTGACCTCGTCGTTTGTCGAAAATCTTTGACCTCCCAAGTGCTTTTTTAGGTTAGGGAACAGAAAGAAGTCTGATGGTGCCATATCAGGTGAATACGGCGGATGCGGTAACAGTTCAAAGCCACAGTTGTGAATTTCAGCCATTGACTGTACTGACGTGTGAACACGGGCGTTATCTTGATGAAACAGGACTTTTCTTCTGAGCATTCCTCGACGTTTTTCTTTTATTTCCTCTCGTAAACGACGTAGTAAGGTGCAGTAGTAATCAGAGTTTATAGTCTGACCCCTTTCAAGATAATCAATCATAATCACACCTTTCGAGTCCCAGAATACTGAAGCCATCACCTTATTTGCCGACAAAATCGACTTAGCCTTTTTAGGGGGTGGTGAACCAGGTCTTCTCCACTGTTTTGATTGTTGTTTTGTTTCCGGTGTACAGTAATGAACCCATGTTTCGTCCATAGTAACAAAACGATTCAAAAAATCATCTGCATCGGCTTCAAATAACTCCAAACAGTCGCGTGAAATAGTCAATCGCGTCCTTTTTTGTTCAACTGAAAGCAGTCGGGGAACCCACCTCGCAGACACCTTGTGGAAACCCAACTCGTTGACAATGATGTTTTGAGTTCGTTCATAAGAGATGCCTATAATCTCGGCTATCTCTCTAATTTTTAATCTGCGGTCTCCCATTATTAAATCAAGTACTTTTTTAATATTTTCGTCAGTAGTTGACGTCGAAGGCCTTCCGGAGCGGGGTTCATCTTTCACACTCTCTCTACCACGCTTAAATTCTGCTATCCATTTTTTGACGGATGAATATGACAGAGCACAATCGCCTAATGTACTGACCATGTCATCATGGATGGCTTTTGATGATAGCCCCTTCTTATGGAGGTACTTAATGACGGCACGCTGCTCGATTTGCTCCATTCGCGGAAATTATGTCCGATTACTTTGTTAATAAATTTATAAAATCACAACTAATTATCGCACACGTTTCGAACTTCACACAATGAACTAGTCTGAACTGAACTAAATAATGTGGGTAGATTTGATTTTTAGAATTGAATGGATCTGTGTTAGGCCGAGTACTTTTCAATCCACCTAGGTACCTAGGAAACTATTCTTTACTGTTCTTAATGATTTAGACCTAAGTTAACACGAGGCGATTCATCATCGTGTATGTAAAGCTTCAAGTGACAATATTTTTGCCAAGTGTTGTGCCAGCTTATAAGTCGGTGAATCGATCTGGCTAACTATGGGACGTACTGGAACGCTTGGCTTGTGTATCTTCGATAACCCACACAACCTCGGTGGTTTGACACATGATGGTATTATCGAATTCACGTCGAAATTTAATTTTTCGGTGTACGAGTATATCTTTATTAAATCGCTAGTTGTTTTAAGCGTGTCAATTGTACGGACTGTTTACTTTACTTCTCCACACTTTAATATGGAGAAAGAATGGATACCTCCAGTTTTACTAGCTCATTGAGAAGGGACCTAATATAGAATACCGTCATAGGGACCGGCTTTGTGCTCTACTACCTCACCCCCGATAATATGTAAAAGTATGAACACTGTGGCGTTTTAACCTGTAATAGACCGGCATTGCATGTCGTCGAGGCGACTAAAATACTACTAGATGGAATGCCTCGTCACCAGTAAGAAGGGTCTTCAACTCTTTAGCAGCAATGGGCTGCTGTTTGCAGATTCGTCTTATATATACTATATGACACATTGCTGTGTCAGCCACGTTAGGAAAAGAAAACCGACACACCGACAGTGTGTTTATTTACACGAACAATTTTGAGCCACTTTTGAACCCTTTCATGAAGTACAAAATAATATATTACAAACTGATTTTATCCAAAATATAAGAAAGAAGTAAGTCTCACTGGGTTTCTTGCTGGTTCTTCCCAGGGCTGAAGTTTTTTCCAAACCAGTGGTAAAAGTAAAAAATTACTTTCAATAAGTATCCTTATAAGGAATAGAGTGAATGGGGTACTACATTCTATTATGAAGAACCAGAATGTGTCAAAAAAGGCACGTATGGTAATTCATAATGCTGTGTTAGTCCCTACTTTAATGTATGGTAGTGAAAAAGCTGGGTGTGGCAGAAGAAGCACGAAAGTAGAATAAATGCTGTAGAAATGCGGTCTTTAAGGAGTAATGCTAGGGTTGAATCTGAATGACAGGGTGAGAAATTGCATGATAAGAGATAAATGTGGTATGCAAGATGATGTTGTGACCGGGATTAAGAAAGGAATGCTTCGGTGGTTTGGTTACGTAGAAAGAATGACCAAGCAAATTTATATGGCAGATGTGAACGGCCGAGTCGGGAAGGGACGTCCTAGAAAAAAGTTTATCGACCAAATTGGCGATATTTTGAAAAGGGGCCACGTTAGAAGTACCCTTAACCGACGAGCATGTATGCGTAGATAGGTACCAAGCAGCTCCAAGAACACTATACATTTCTATAAATCCTATGATTTTAGGAACTGCTATGGAGCTTGGCCCCCGTTCAGGTTTTTGCTCTTTTATGGATGTACGAAGGCTTAAACCCCGAATGTCCGGGCCTCCGGGCAACCTCTCGGCAATAAAAGAATGCCTTTGCCCAATAATACAATGTATTCGTATGTACGAGTAGGTTGTTACTTAATATTAAAATTGGGAGATTCTTAGTGCGATCATCACAGTTTATTAACAATGCGTGTTTTTAGTTTAACGCTTATTTTATTACTTTGCAGAGTCAAATTCGGCTTGTACGAAGTGGATTTCGAGGATCCGAAACGCAAGCGTACCCCACGCGCGTCGGCAAAGTATTACAAAGAAGTCATACGAACTCATTCCTTTGACGTAGCAAACAAAAATAATTATGATGAGCTGTAGCCATTTTAGTTTTATTTTATTGTAACAACTGCAGTGTTATCGTTTTTGTACATTTTCGTATTGGTGGAGATTTATGTATTATATAAAAATTTATAAAATGGAATAGAATCAATTCTTAGGATATTAATTGGAATTAAATCAATATGTAATATATACACTGAGTGATTTTTTTACTGTCTGGAAAAAGGGTTTTTTTTTACAGAACAGGGGGCAAACGAGCATGCGGCTCACCTGATGTTAAATGAATACCGCCGCCCATGATCAACCGCAACACCAGGGGAATTGCAGGTGCGTTGCCGGCCCTTTAGAAAGGAGTAAGCTCTTTTCTTGAAGGTCCCCAGGTCATATCGGTCCGGAAAAATTGCCGGTTGTAAACTATTCCACAGAGAGGTCGTACGCGGAAGAAAACTCCTTCTGAAACGTAAAGTGGTGGACCGCCAAGCATCCAAATGGTGTTGATGGTATCGGGGCGTTTGCCGCGTAGTGCGTTCACGAAATTTGGCGGCTGGGATTAATCCGAACAATTCCTCAGAGCACTCCCCGTGATAGATGCGATAAAATACGCAAAGAGATGCAACATCTCTTCGCAACGCCAGTGAATCGAGCCGATCGGAAAGCACTCGGTCGTCGACGATTCGAGCCACTCTTTGCGCTGGATGCGGTCAAGTAGAAGGAGCTGGTAGGGTCGATGCGCCGGTAAGCCGGCCGGGTCTAGATTTCGGCCTTTAGCACGAGGTGATGCAGTAAATTTGATTTAATAACAATTTTAATAAATATTATCGTACGAAATAAAGTTTAATGGATTTGTAAATAGTTGCACTATATCTGGTAGCATTAATTAATCAGGTAAACACAACACGCGATTTATAATAAATAGTTTAGTTCGATGCCGGCACAGAAGCTGTCAAAACGGGTAAGATCGAGCAAAAAAAAAATAGTGGCGCGCTTTCCATTCAAAAGTAAGTTTCGTGCTGTATTTAATGCAATTACTTAATATTGTGCTTATATTTCACTGTATAAATAACCTAATACAGTTATTTGACACTGATTATTATAATACTTTATTGTTAAAGTTAATAAATTAAGTGGCCGAAAAGTGACACATAAAATTGTCCCATTATTTGGTTATAAAAGTACCCTTTTTTTTTTTGCGGATGGAAAATCATCTAATGACCCCTTTCGCTCTGGGTGGAGCGTAAGGGAGTGTCAGACTTTTACTGACTAAAAACCATCCGTGTTCCTTCAGGGCCCTTACGTTCCGGAGCCGCGGTATCTCTTTCGAACAGCCCGCAGCCCCGGCAGGCGTCGGCCCTTGCGGGCCCCTTCACTTTACCACACCACACCTTACACTTTGAGGCGCGCGTGGAACAAAACGCGCCGTCGACACGGCCTGTCGTCATTAGACGGACGGACGACGAGCTACCCATTGCTCGCCGTCCACAGGCCCGCGCCTACGGTGGCCGGGGGCCACGACGTAGCCCCCGACGCCCGGGGCGTCTCCCGCGGCGGCCGGGGAGGAAAGCTGCTGCTCTCTCCTTCTCCCGCTCCGCCACCTCCTTCGCTAGCATCACTGCTTCGCAGAAGGTGGTGACGGCATCCCATTCCGATAAAAGTACCCTGAGTTAAGCCTAAATACTTTTTCTCATTCGTTTATTTTGTTACGTACTATATATAATTCATCTTTCTTACTTATATTGAATCGTAGCATGCGTAGACACTAACTTTCAGTTTTCGGCCACTAATTACTGCAATTTCAACAGTTAGTGACGAAACAAAAATACCCATTTTGGTCGTGGCCGAAAACTGGATTGACTCTAAAATATTTATTTAGTTTTCGGCCAACTTAAAATTGTATGAAAGAATACGGCGGCGGAAAATAGAATGTTGTCTTAGTTTACGTTTACGGCCATTTCATCAAATATTTTATTCACATAGGGTTTTATGAAGAAGATTCATCAAGAATTTTTTTCTTCAGATGGCTCCACCAAAGAAATATAATAAGTAAATGGCTTCAGAAAATGCGGACTTTATTAAATAGATCTCAATGCAGTGGATTCCTCAAATTGAGTCCAGCAAACCCTGGAAAGACTAATCGATGATAATTGAAAGAAAGAATAAATATTTCCAAAGAAATAACTAATGCAGACCTAGTTTCCACTAGAAAAGTTTAGAAACATTTTGAAACATTTTAAATCAACTTTGGCAGAAAACACATAAAAGTTGCTATTATAGTGAATGAGATAAGGAAATTGAAACGAAAGTCTTCTCAGATCAATTTTGTACCACACATACAGGTCAACGAAGACTTGGAAATTCTCCAATTAAGCAATATAAGACCGCTAAGTCCATTTAGTCTCCAGAAAGTCTGTGCAACACAGATCAAGATAAAAATATTCTAACTCACGATGTTGTGGTAACTATTTATTCATCTACCGATGCATCAGAATCGTTAATCGATAACAAAATTTCAACATTGCATTTGTCAGGAAGTTATTTGGATATTGGTTCCTAAGTATTGTTATATGATGTTCTTGTAATCCAAACTCAAATAAGCTTACCAACGACAACAGTACTGACAATTCCTGAAATGATAATAGGTTTCAGTAATGAAACAATAACGACTCAAATGACTACGGTGATACCACTACAAACACCGACCATAACAAACAAGATCTCTGAAACTATAGAAAATGATTGGGTTGATATTCCAACTAAACAGACTAGTACCCCTCTACGAGCATTGTAACAGTGGAACATTGGTTTTAGTACTATTAAATAAAGAATATAGAGATGCAATAGAAAAAACATTTAATTAAACCATAACCCGTAAAAAAATTAACTGCTTACAGTACACGTGCACCTTCTTTTGCAGCAATTTCATCTGCGGTGTGGCGAAAATTTTATGAAGATAAGTGAAAGTTAAAATAGAGAAGTAAGAACTAAAATATTTAGAAAAAGAAAAAAAATAGAACAAGAAAAATTAAAGAGTGTTAAATAAAGTTCAAATACGAAAAATATCTAAATCCAAGAAATCTATGAAGGAGAAAAGGGTAAGAGTAAATTGCGCTTTGTGTCATAATATTTTAATAAACGATACAGAAGAAGATCTGGATGTGATTAGATGTGGTGTGAAAAATCAATAAATTTGCCAGAAGAGATGGTAACAGATTTTGTTGAATTAAAATACTTATGAGGAAGTACAGAATACTCGTAAATGAGTAGATTTGATTGCTATATTTCAAAGATTTTGTTATTAGATTATGATTCAAAGAAAAATGATTAATCATGGTTATTATTTTATATCAAAACCACTCCAAAATGAAAAAATAACGTCACGATTAAAATAAAGCAAGCACCGATTGAAAAAATGAAATACACCGATTTCCCAAACCGTATTGCCATTTTCTGATTTTACAAAAATACTTTTAAGTTCGTCATCCTTCTAAACAGTGGCCGAAAAAAGGCCAAATAACCGAAAACTAGCGTTTTGCCTATTTTTCACATCAAAAATTATTATAAAAAATAGATTTCTTTTGTAGCATCAATGAGTTATAAAAAGGAAAACTACATTATTTAAGCTACAAATAGTAGTTACTACCTCTCTAGTTGTACCAGTTCTGGCGCACGACGTTCGTCGACTCACAATCCAAAAAAAAAAAAAAAAAAAAAAAAAAAAAGGTTTCGGCATGCTCTGATCACGAATCTGCGGTCACCATTTTTGCGTAGGATGCAGGGTTCCGGAGATGTGCAGATCAATTAACTCTTATCTAATTGATATCCGCTGCGAGCCTCAACCGTCATTAGCGCTCCATTGTCCTTAATCTACTTATCTATTGTTGATTGACTACCGTCATTATCTATTATTCGTCCAGCGTGTGGGTCGGCTTATGCTATTGTATTATACTCCTTTGTTCCTATCTACAACACTAATCTGAATCATCAATAAAACACATCACCTAATTTTGTTAAAATTTTTATTTATGAAATACAAAATCTTATTACTTATTATCTATAAAATAGGAGCGAAACATCTCATCCACTAAAATATCGTTGTACAATGTGTTCTCTGTAAATATACTCGTAAAACTATGCATTGAACATCCCTGAAACTTATATAGCAAATACATTAAGCAATATTCGCCACAAACTGAAGTCCTATCAACATTCCAGTTCCATCTTTTAAACACATTACCTAATTTTGTTAAAATTTTTATTTATAAAATACAAAATCTTATTACTTATTATCTATAAAATAGGAGCGAAACATCTCATCCACTAACATATCGTTGTACAATGTGTTCTCTGTAAATATACTCGTAAAACTATGCATTGAACATCCCTGAAACTTATATAGCAAATACATTAAGCAATATTCGCCACAAACTGAAGTCCTATCAACATTCCAGTTCCATCTTTTACAATTTCGTACGGGTGCCCGTCCATATGAATCAAAATATTCACCGACGTCATTCGTATCGATATATAAAGCTATCCAATGTGACCCTGGTTTATCATCTGTACCCAAATTGCATATTACCTAGTCAGGTCATAAATTCTATCACATGTTTAATGTAAAATAATTGAAACAAGTTTATTCATTATGTAACCATTTATATACCAAAATGAACTTAACAAAACATAGATTCTTATGACACTATAGTTTATTCAAAATGACCTAATCACCTAATTTTGTTAAAATTTTTATTTATGAAATACAAAATCTTATTACTTATTATCTATAAAATAGGACCGAAACATCTCATCCACTAAAATATCGTTGTACAATGTGTTCTCTGTAAATATACTCGTAAAACTATGCATTGAACATCCCTGAAACTTATATAGCAAATACATTAAGCAATATTCGCCACAAACTGAAGTCCACTCATTCTGAATCCTATCAACATTCCAGTTCCATCTTTTACAATTTCTTTTAAAAAACTCTAGATGATATCGTACAGGTGCCCGTCCGAATGAATCAAAATATTGACCGACGTCAT